TCAACCTCTATCACTTCCTCTCGGTTGAACCTTTCCTGATGCGGATTGAAGGTCATGGCTTCGTTCTGTCTGATCTGCTCATGTCGCGAATCAACGCGAGTCGATCCTTCGTGATCCTCAACTCGACGAACATTTGGCGGCAAATTGTCCATCCTCCTTTCATCACGGTGGAGAGCTGACTGATTGTTCTCGTCTTGCTCGCCTTGATGTGCGATATTAGATTGAATACCTCCTTCACCGGCCGGAAGTGGACGCGGAACCGCCGGCATTTGCTGATGCTGCATTCCAGCTTTCAATTCTGCATTCTCTCTTTTGAGAGCTTCGATCAAGTTCATCAACTCCTCAAGCTTCGTTTGCTGGACAACCTCCATCGGATTGGAGCTTTCACCTATCATTATTCCTGAACGGAGTAAAGGCATTAATCTCAAGTTCTTGAGTAGATCTGAGCTTCGTGAGCGCGAATTTTTCAGATCTGGACTCGAATTCTCCAAGTTATGCTTACGGTTGACGAGATCTGAATTCTCCAAATTCTAAATCTGTCAGATCCGGCCGCAATCGAACAACTCATTGTTGCGTAGATCTGAAGCCATTTCCGTCAAAGCAACAGAACTAAAATTCCTCCAGAATAGGTCACAATCTCTCAGATCTGGATCCAACTCCCAAAGATCGAGTTTCGTCTTCACGAATTGGTCTGAATCTACGCGATATTGATCAATGATCAATCAATCTTCAACGATTCCCACAGACGGCGCCAATTGAAGATGCAAGGAATTCATTTCCATTTTCTCTCTCTAGAATTCTTACACTTCAACAGAATAATCCCCTTCTCTATCCATTACTTCTCATATTTATAGATACTTACAAAAACTAATAGACTGCTAGATCTGGGCCCGTTCCTCTGTGGGTTTTGGTCATCTTTGATGGGCTATTCGCGTTCGGCCCATATGGCAGTGTTTCTCTATGGGCTGGACCCAGCTGCTCGGACCGGATGCCATGTTCGCGGGTCATATCCGGCCCATGTCACTTCTGGCCTCCTCACCAGGTGTGGAGGAATGGTGCCATGAAGCGCCATGTTTGAAACATTCAAGGCCGTGACTCTTTGGTGGCGACCACCACAAGTGACTCCAATCCAGTTGTAAACAGAGGTGGTTGTGGACCAATTGGTAGCAAATATGGCATGAGCGTTAGAAGTGATGATGTGAGTTTTCAAGGCGAGAAGAGCAGATTCATCAATGGTGATGTTGGTGGCAATATGGGATTTGCAAGTGATGATAAGATAGGGCTTCACCAACACTACTGCAAGAAAAAAGAGGAACCAAGTTCTCTCCATGGTTAATTGGACTACAAAAGTGAACAAGACGTACAATATATAAACAATGAAATTTTATATATGTACGTGACATGAAGGGAAATGGCAAATTAGCTCCTTTTTGTTACTGACACGTGTATTGCTTTTTTCAACAAATTAACTCCAATAATTACTCCTGGATCATCCATCATTATCAACAAATTAATTTTAGTGAATTTATTATTAGTGCCGTAAATTAACAAAGAACTTGTAAGTTGTGAGAAGAGGACAACATATACGTACAATACGGTTATGTGCAAAAAAAAATCCTCCTCTACTATTGATATAGTGCAAAATGATCCCGGTATGATAAAAATATCCCTATAGTATTAATTTGATGCAAATAGATCCTTGTGTAATATAAAATGATGATAATACTCTCATTGCAGTTGAATAAATTAATAATTATAAATATAGACCATGCAAATTTATCCACTTATCAAAAAAAAAAAAAAAAAAAAAAAAGACCTTCCTAATTGCAAAAACTAGTAGGACCTCTTAAACCTAAAATTGACGACCACGATTACTTAAAGATTGTGTTAATTGCTTCAATTTGATTAATGGGTTTGAGAATCAAAGGCATGTTAAGGCTAGAAGCAAGAATGATTTCCTATTTAATGATGTATTAGCTATGGGAATTGGTGGAATCATAATTAGGTTTGACTTATCGTAATTAGACCCACATTGTAATTGGAATCAGAATTGGGTTGGACTTATCGTTAAAAAAATATATATATATCGTAATTGGACCCCAAAGATACTGATTTCAATTTGCAAACACTGTTTTGCTGGGGATTTTATGTGGCTCACTGCATTTATATAATCCATATATAAGATTTTTATAGGAATTTGACATATAACAAGGTTTCGAATTTTTTCGGCAAAAAATTTCCAATTTTTGGTATTGCCCCATCGGTAGGGTAAAGACTAAAGAGAGGACTGATATCTACAACAGAGATAAACAACAAAAACAGAGAGGAATGAGAAAATGATGCAATACAGAGATGAGAGGTATATAACAGCATGTGTATTATTATATAGATAGAGGAGATGCATAAATCGAAAGATCAATGTAGCGAGTTGGCTAGGGTTAAATGTGATCAAAACCACATTTTGATCGCAGAATAAGGTCCACAAGACCAAGACGAACACGACGCTGTAAATAAAAGCCAAAAACAACGTTACACGTGCCACCTGAATTTCTGTGCGTAGATCTCATGCACTGTCACGCTCCCCACGCGTCTTCTCCGATGAAAATCCGATTGCGACGAATTTTTCGGCAAAAATTTGGTCACATCTCCGACGAGCCTAGCCGTTTAGCTAGTACCAGCCGAGCCGAGCCAGAGGGGCAAAATAGGAATCAAAAGGGTAAAATAGGGTTTTCATATTTAGTTTTTGTCAAAAAAAGTGGTCAAATGGGCTTATTTGTACCTTTTTTGAATTTTTTGGACTAACATGTACATTTTCAAAAAATACAGACTAGTTTTGCAAAAATCTTATACATCAAGAAATTTTTTTTTTTTTTTTTTGCACTTAACCCTATATAATAACATGGATTATTATCAAGGTTACTAAAGGCTATTAGGTGTAACAAAGGTGGGTCCACTCATAACTATATATATGTATATTATATATATATATATATATATATATAATATACATATTTATATTGGTAATGTAGTATTTTAAAAGCGTTGAGACAAAGATTGAAGCACAAAGTCATATACATATTTATATTGGTAATGTAGTATTTTAAAAGCGTTGAGACAAAGATTGAAGCACAGAGTCATACAACGGACGATGATCTGGAAGACCAAAATTTTCAACATTGTGATTCGAATGGGCTTGAATTCCAGAGGTAGAGAATAGTGACAACGATGTTGTATTTTGTCTTAGCCTCCCACTTTTCAACATGTAATCTTTTGTTCGAGAGTACTAGAACAAACGTCTAGAATCGGGTGGTGACTCATTTAATTGCGCCAGTATGTTTTAAACACTCAACCTCATCCAAGCCTTTTAGTCAGACTATCATATTTCTTGTTTCTCTCCCGGCACGTACTACCCATACATAAATGCTCAACAACAAATTAGGGTTAACTCCACTGCCTTAGAATGTTGTGTAAAATAAGAAGATTGGTTATACCTAAGAATTAATGATGTAAAATTGTTGCCTAAGTCATTTAAAGTACTTATTGTATAAGAGATGTAAGTTTGTAAAGTTGTTCCCTAAGTCATTTAAAGTACTTATTGCATAAGAGATGTAATTTTATAAAGTTGTTGCCTAAGTCTCCACGAGAACAAATGTGAGATAAGTGAGGTAAATGTGAGAAATGACGTATTTGCGTGGGGGTTTATTTTTATATTATATACCCTTGAATTTTATCTTTTTGTATTATATATTTATAAAACTTTAAAATTAACCCGATTAAAATTATAGAAAAATTTTACCATATAAGTTCGCTCCCTCTCAGATAATTTTCTATGGCGGTCACTTACGTGAGTCTATGCTCAATTTATGTTAAAATAAAAGGCCATAATGTGGAACAATTCTTTAAGCAACTTACCGACTCCAACCCAACCTAATCCCCTCCTGCATGGGTTGAGCTTGCATGTTTTTGAGAGGTAAAGTTAATTGTATAAGAACGGTATAGCCCAAAAAGGAAAGATTACTAAGGCCCAGTAGGCACAGCCCATACTCAATTACAAGAAAACCCAACCCATGAGAGTAGACCCAACACTTTAGAAGTTGCAGACGTCTTTGTTTTGTTTTTTTAGTTAAAAGAAGTTGCAGGTGCAGACGTTGATAAACATCGAAAGCAGCGCTGGAACCTTCTCCTGCTAGCCGATCAATCAGGTGGTGGCGCCGGTGGACGGATAACACATTGAGTCAGATCCCATTCGCTGGCGATACGTCTTGCCATAGGTGAATCAGTGAAGGTACATGACATTAACTTCAATCGAATAGAGTCAAGGATTCAAATCAGTATCACCATTGAGGAGAGGGCTTTAATTCAAGAGCCGGCGAATCCTCTCAAGCCAAACATTGTAGACAGCAGCAGCTAGATAAATCCTGCAGATTATGTTCTGTGGTTAGCTGGACTGCCCTTACAGTGATCAAGCTGACCAAGAAACAAGCTCTAACCATGCGGAGGGCAAGATGTGGAAGGAAGCCTCCACGTGTTTGAAGAAATGACCAGATGGGAGCGCTAAAAGTACACTTGAAGAAGAAGAGGTGGTCATGCGAATCAATAATTCCATGAGTCTGCGATCCAGAGTTGGTAGTCTTTGGTGAATGGCCAGCCCCAGAACGAAGTTATGCTTTGGGATAGAAGGTTTTCTTCCAAATAAGGTTTCTTCTAAATTTTGCCTATTTCTCTCCAGGTCTAAGCATATGTTATCATTGATGTGAATGCTATAAGAAAGTAGTAATTAACTACAATATTAAAGGCCAAGAACTCCTTAGACATGCTGTTTAATTTTCTAACAAGGCTCGGTGGAAGAGGTGTAGACTTCGAATTACTACTTGGTATAAGAGTGCAGATAAATTTACATTTTCCACTGATAGCACACACTAGTAACTCTCTCCAATTGGTCATCTGGGTGGGAATTGATTCTCGTCAAAAAGTTAAGCCAAAGATGCCATTGGATACTTTCATGCTTCATCTCCATTCACAATCTGCCGGGCTCTCGACACACAATTGGCTAGGAACCAAAGTCTGATCTTCTTGAGTGCCGCTAGAACATCACCCATATTCATCCTTTCCTGAGGTGATTCTGCGGAGCAATTCAGAGCTAATTCCATGATGGATGATACACACTCCGCCTTTGCATTGAAATCTTCCTCCTCTGGCCTTAGCAAGTTGGAATCTATAACCTTAATTATTCCATTGGGTAATGACTTCTTTACCCAACTCTTGAGGCTCAAATCTCTGGTAAACAAATCATCAGTTGGTTTCCTTCTTGTAAATGTCTCCGTTAACATAATGCCATAACTGTAAACGACACACCTTGTGGATACTAAACCTTCCATTCCATATTCTACATCCATCCAACAATACAACTCATCAGAAACACACATTGATATATAGGTTAGGAGAATATAATTTAACAAAAACTTGAATTCAAATTTTGTTTGAGAAAATAATTTAAGAACTTCAGCTGGTGCAATATACCCAAATGTAGCTAGAGTCTTGGTTAGGGCAGTGCTCTCCCCATTGCCCAAGAACTTCCCAATTCCAAAGTCACTCAAATGTGCAACCATATCTTCATCTAGAAGGACATTGCTTGGCTTCAAATCACAATGGACAATAGATGTTGAATAACCATTGTGGAGATAGTCCATTGCACATGCCACATCTATCATTACAACTAACCTCTGCAAGATATCCAAGAAGTAGTTGTGATTATACAATACAACCACTTTTCAAGGCTCCCATTAGGCATGTACTAGAGTATCAAGGCTCTGAAATCAAGGTTACAACAACTGCTAATGACTTCGGCGAGATTCCTGTGTCGGATGTTGCGCAATACTTCACATTATGTGTCAAAACTCTTAAAAGCATCTTCCAGCTGCATATTGAATACCTTTATAGCCAAAATAGTCCCATCAATTAGTGCACCTTTATAAACTGAACTGAAACTCCCGATGCCAAGCAAGTTGCTTTCTCTAAACCCATCTGTTACTTGTAAAAGTTCATGGTATGTAATTCTTTCTCTTTCAGTTGCAAGTATTGGACCAGTTTGAATTGGAGTTTTGTTTTTCTTTCGACATCTCAAACATACAAATGCAACCGTCAAGACAAGAAGTACTGATGCAATTGGCAACGTGATATACACGACGAGACGCACTTTTTTTATCCTTGATTTGTGAAGTGAACTAGTATCACATGGCAAAACTTGGAACCGAGGGGCACCACACAGTGCTTCATTCGACATAAGTAGTTCGCAAAAGGTCCTCCAGTGGGAATTTCTCCTCCTAGCTAGTCTATTGAAATACATTAAAATATTTAAGATGTCGTAGTGTCTCTAACAACCGAGGAATCACACCAGAAAGGTTGTTATGTGATAGATCGAAGAATTCCAAGCCTACCATGCTTCGAAATACATCAGGAATAGGTCCTTGTAGTCTATTATTTGCCAAATAAAGATTAGTTACATCTTGCAAGCTGCCAATTGTGCTAGGGATGTTACCTGTGAATTGATTCATTGATAGACCAATTTCGGTAGAAACCTTTAAACTTCCAATCTCTGGGGTATATCCACTTAAAGAATTAGAGGACAAGTTGAAGATCAAAAGATCATCGAGGCTCCAGAGGGTTGCAGGTATGGGTGAAGTTAATCTATTGGAATCTAAATACAGATATCTTAGGGAAGAAACATTCCCTAAGCATGTTGGAATAAGACCAATGAGCCTATTGTCACTAAACTTAACAAACCCAGGTTGGATAATTGGTAGAGAACCTCCGGGATAGATCCTTCTATCCCATTATTGTCAAGATACAACCGTTGGAGCTTCGCTAACCTTTTGATGGCTGTGGGAATAAGCCCAGTCAAGTGATTGCCAGTTAAATACAATGATGCCAAATTGCTTAAATTACCAATTCCATTTGGAATGGTTCCCTCGATCCCACAATTAATTGCACTAAAATTTTCGAGAGAGGTGGAGAGATTCCCGATGGAAGTTGGAAGTTTGCCATTCAAAGAATTATAACCTATTCTCAATCTTTTTAAATAGTTAAATGCCTGCAGTTTGTCAAAGAAGTGAGGAAGCTCAGTTCTGGAGATGAAGATTCACTGATGAAATTGCTAGTATCAAGGCTTAGAACTTCGAGGAGTCCTAAGTCACCAAGGGAGTACTGGGGACGGTGAATGTGTTTGTGGAAACGTCCCAGGCAATGAGATTGGAGGCATTGGAGATTACCAGAAATGCTATTTCGTAACAAATTAATTACTCGCAGCGATGATGCATGTTGAAGATTGAGGGTGGTATGGAGCCTGAAATATAAATTAATCATTTTCAATGCATAAATTTCATCCATCTCTATATAATGAAGGTGATATGGTACCTGTAAACCTGTTGCTAGCAAGAAGCAAATACTCGAGTTTAGACAAGGCACCCAACCATGATTGTACTCCTCCAGTAAATTGGTTGGAAACAGAACTCATGAATTTCAATCGACGCAAATGACCTTAATTCATTTGGTAGATGGCCACTGAAACTGTTGTTACTAACGTCGAGTGAGACGAGAAACGAGAGATTGCCCAGGTGTGGAGGAACGGTGCCTTGAAGAGCCATGTTAGAAATGTTCAAGGCCGTGACTCTTTGGTGGCGAGCGCCGCAAGTGACTCCAATCCAGTAGCAAACAGAGGTGGCTGTGGACCAATTGGTAGCCAATATGGCATGAGGGTTGGAAGTGATGATGTGAGTTTTCAATGCAAGCAGAGCAGATTCATCAATGGTGATGTTGGTTACAGTATTATGATTATATAGTGCTTCACCAACACTGCAAGAAAAAAGAGGAACCAAGTTCTGTCCATGGTTGATGCATGTAACAAAGGTGGACAAGAAGACGTACAAACAATGAAATTTTATATACGTACTGGAAATGGCACATTGGTTACTCTTTGTTATACGTGTTGCTTTATTCAAGGAATTAACGGCAATAATTGCACATAAATCATCCATCATTATCAACAAATTAATTTTACCCAATTTATAATTAGTGCCGTTGATTAACGAACAAGTACATCAACATAACATGTATTGTCAGGGTTACTGATGGACTATTAGGTGTAACAACTCTGGGTCCACTCAAGAAGCTTCAATATGTATTTTAATGGATGAGTTTGAACATTTAGATGAAAGAAATGAAAGGCGATCATATTTTAATGCTACATGTGAAAGAGATTGATTTTCTACAAATTAATGTAATTTTTTAATGATGTCCTTCTTTGACAAATCATATACTTTATAATAATAGAGGATTTATTATTATTATTATTTTAAGAGCAATTAGAAAGATTGAAACACAAAGTCATACCTGTTGACAAGCAAGGATAAGAAGACCAAATTCAACCTTGAGTGAGATACCAAATGGATTTGTATTCTAGATCGAATGCAGTGACACATTGAATTGTGTCAGTCGCCCAGTGGACACAGTTGAATTGTGTGACTCTGCCAAAACCATAGCATGAATCTAATTTATTTTTTTTCTTTGTTCGGAGCACGTATATGGGCCTCACAATACACACACCATTAAGTCAGGAGTGCGTTTTCGAAAGCGAAATCTTAAAAACTTACTTTCTAAATTTCTGCCAACGCCACTATATCCCGAGGCATGAATTTAATTTGGTAAACACAATTTAGTACTTAAATAAATATACATACATATATATATATGCAGAGCTAATATCTCTTGTCACGATGATACACACATACATCTTCTAAATATATATATACAGGTGGTTCATGCACTAAATTAGTCATTCTAATTCTTTGTCAAGGAAAAGAAGTTAATTTTATTATTAATATGGAATAAATGACAAAGCCATTAATTATGAGCTTTATGTGCAAGTTATGTTAAAGGAGCTCTTAAAACAAATTAGCAACTTTAATTCTAAATTACACAATCCTCCTATAAGAGTTTTGTTGTTACAAGCTCAAATTGATGCTTTGATAATAAATTATTCTCCAATTTGAGTTAAATTCAATTTTATGAATCCTCAAATTCAATGTCTTTTATCACGAAATTTTATGCCACAAACAATTTCATTTATTTATTTATTTTGGAAACGTACCACAAACAAAAAGGTGTGGCCTTAGAATAAAATTTTTTGCCATGTAAATAAATGATTGTAGCTAAAGAACTCCATTTCACCTTCAAAGTAATTTTTGCCAAAGAAAAGGCAGCAAAGTCCCAAGATTTGGAGGGAGATGTCCTGAGAGGTGATGGACTGCGTCGTTAAGATGCTGAAAACTATTAAAGGAACAGGACCTTGTAGGTTGTTGGTGCTCAATCGGAGAGCATTTTAAGATTACCCATCTCGTGTTGGTAAAAGAAAATAAAAAATAATAATAATAATAAAAAAAAGAGCTAGTTCAGAGCACGAACAGGCCACCATTAAATATATCCAATCTCCTGTAATTAGAAAGATGAACATAAATTAAGGTTAATTTGGAGTCATTTGCCCCAGGTCCAACTCTTCCATATAGGCTAATGTTCGTGAGACTGATATATGCTTTAGCTAGCGAAGTTAAAGATTACAAGAGGTGGCACATAACAAGATAAAGAAATTAACCCTTCATGGCATGGAGCAACATTTAGTATAAAATAAAAAAAAACAAACAATACCAGCTTTCGAATTGCTCCTGCCAACAAAATTGTTCCCGTTAAAGTTGAGGAAGGCTAAAATTGTTGTCGTGAACTAAGTATTTATGAATATACTATCCTATATCCTAAATTATAAATACAAAAGAATCATATCTATGATATCATAGTCAAAGTCAGAATTTATTAGTTCATGAGATTTGATGTATTTATTTCAATAAGAAAGATTCATGGTGTGAGTCACAAGCAGGGGCGGAGCCAATTAAGGCCCAAAGGGGGAGCAGATGCCCCGCCCTTGCTCCAACCTACTTATACATATGTACATATTTTTGCTAAATACATATATTTATATGGTAAATTTAAATAGTATCCCCCTAAAATTTTCAAATTCCTCTAATATTTTATTTATTTATTTATTTATTTTTACTACATATATCCCCCTTCTAGTACAACATATATTTTTCCTATCTAATTTTTGTTTCCTTTTTTCAAAAAATTTCTTCTAATTTTTTTTCCTTTTTTAAAAATTTCTTTTTTCACTTATGTATAATTATGTATTGTACCATTTTTTCCAATTTTTTTCTTTTTATCGATGACATTTGTGATTATATTTAATTAAAGTATTATTAATCAATATTTTGATTCTTATATTTGTCAATTATATTTTTTTTACCATACTTATATTTTTTTTTTTTGCCTTTTGATTTAAAAAAAAATTATATTTGTCATAGTTATTGACTTATTATTATTATTATTATTATTATTATTATTTAATAAGTGCATTGTGCCTCGCTGAAGTAAAATCCTAGCTCCTTCCCTGAATAATCCAATATAGTTGTAAAAAGATACCTAGACTACTATAAATTCATTTTATTTTTCTTGAGGGTATTAGTTACATATATGATTCAGGCTTAGGTTATCATTTGCAAACTGGTCAATGATGATCGCAATGGTGTGGTAATGTTGGTGTATGATTAGTGAGACATTGTCATGGTTTGTGATTGAAAATGCAGGCGCAAATTAGCTTTGACAAATTTACTTTGTTCCCAAACTCATCAACACAGCTTGCGGATAATTCGGGCTAATTCAACTTCCCAATAGTTTGATGTTTTGACTTCAATAAGGATTTGGATTTCTCCAAGTTTGACTATTTTTTTTGAGCTGACATGGTACGAATACAAAAATTTTGTATTGAAACAAAATTTGGACTCTAACATTTATCTCACCAAACAAAGGTTGAAGATTTTAAGACTTTTTTTTGGGTTTAGGATCATAATGTCTCTCATAATTTATCGTGTTTCACGTGCAACAGACAATTATTAAAGATAATCACAGGGATATTGGAACTCTCAATAAGAGCACCTTAGTATATTTACCTAAACATGTTGGTTAGTATATTTACTTTAAAAATAAATAAAATATTAAAAGAGTAAAATTGAGTCTGTTAAACTTACTTCTAATTAATGTCATATTTGGTGGATTTGCAAATTTTACATAATTATAAATACATATTTTCTCATCAATAAGAGCAATTTACATCATGATGTACTTGTGAAATATAATACAAATTGAAATTCAATTTTAAACCAACTTATCACTTTCAATTGCAGTTTAGGAAAGCTTAGATATAAGGATTTATTTAGCTCAACTAGACTTAAACCCAAGTCCCTACCTCTTCTTCCTCCTCTGTATATTTTGTACTCAAATCTTTAGTTTGTAATTGAATTTGATGGCACTTCAATAATAATTCTGCCTCAAAATTAAAAATTATTCAAGAAAAGCTTTTAATTATTATCATTATACCATTAAGATAAACAAATTAAATTACATTAATTATCATCTTCTTATATTTATAATAGTCAATATGTGGGACCTTTCTAAAAAAAAAATGTCAATATGTGGGGTATACAAATATACTTGCATTTTAGGGGGGTCGGGTCTACAACCCAATACCTCTATACGGGTTCAAATTGAATTTAGTTTCAGTTGAGTTTTTCAACTTATGCACCAGTTGATCCTTAATTGGCTCAATGTTTTTTATTTTTTAAAGAAACAAATGAAGTGAGTATTTTTTTTGTTGGTAAAACATATCATATCTTTGCAGGGGCGATGTATGTCCAGAGACACGTGCCCTCGGTCTGGCCTGCTTACTATAAGATATATATATTAGATTTATATATTTTACATGATATATAATAAAATTCATATAATGAATCCCTTAAAATTTTTATTTTCTAAAATTATCTCTTAATTTTTGAACTTCTTTCCTTTTTTACTCTTTAAACTCATTTAATTTCATTTTTAAAAAGTCAAAATTTTCTTTTTGAATCAATTTCTAATTTTTTTTTCTTTCAAAATTCTCTCATTTTTCCTTTCTTTTAATTTTTTTGTTAACTATTTATTTTTCTTAAACTACTCATTGACATATTATTTTAAATAATTTTTCTTCTTTGTCTCTTGATTTATAGAATCTATATTTATTGTTGTGATTATTGAAATTTTTTTTTTTTTTTTTTTTTTTTTTTTTTTTTTAACATTATGCCCGCACACCCCCCACACTAAATCTCCGTCTTAATTCATTGTGATTATTGAATATATATATATATATTTTTTAACATTATGCCCGCACGTCCCCCCCCCCCCCCCCCCGCCACGAAATCTCCGCCCTAGTTTCATAATCATTATACAAGCGAGTTTCGTGAGCTTTTAGTCAATTTGAAAATTCAACATTACTCAATTTTTTATTTTCAAATTTGTTATCACTATATAGTTAAGAGTGGTAGTGTAGTGATTTTGGGGTTGCTTAGTTTAATTTCTCTATTTATTAAGAAGTGAAACTTGAAAAATTGTATAAAAAACTGTTTAGTTGATAGTTTTAAAAAATTATTTTTTAAAATTCAATTAAAAATATATATTTTTATATAGTTCTTTCAAAATATTTTTATGTTTTTTCATATTTTTTAGTGACAAATCAAACATGTGATTTCTTTTTACCTCTCATAGTAGCATGTGAATATTTAAAATACCTATAAGGTCCATATGTTTAGATGAAAATCAATACGGCAAAGTAAAAAAAGGAGAAGGAACGGAAAATCTTTTAGAATTCAATTGTGGGAAAGCCTCACTTCATAGTTTGGAGAGGATGAAGATTATAAGAAAATAGTATGATTTACCTACATTATCCATATTTTTATTAAATATGACAATTGGTCTAAATAAATTTATGTTTACTTATTTTTAAAATTTTTAAAAATAAAAGCAATATAAGAATCTAAGTTAAAAAATTTGTAGAACATCTAGAGGCATATAAACTGTGATACTATAATTATTAAAAGTTACGTATAAACTCATTTTATTTCAGTAAAAGATAGGGTATAATTGAAATTTCATACATTTTTCTCAAGAAAGCAAGCAATTTTTTTTTTGTGTTTTTGTATGAAATTTTTGTAAAAAAATTAGGTGGTTATAGAAAATTTACTTTCCCATTTTTTTTTTTTGGTTATCCAAACTCTTAAGAACTTTTTTTAAAAAATAAAATAAAATAAAATCATTTCTTTTTCTTTTCTGCCATTTCCGTTTACCAAACAAACCATAATGAAAAATGAGTATGTGAGCTCTAGCCAAAATATTAATAATATAAATAAAAATAAAAATAAAATTTATTGTTTTCTCTGTGTTAAATGAGTGGGCCTAATCCTGCTGCTGTGTCGACCGAGTAAACTTAAACCGGCCGGCCCGAGTAGCATGGCCTGGTTCCCCGTACAAGGCCATTTATGTAAATAACTGGAACGGTAGGGGCGTTAAGTGTATTGACCGAAGAGAGAGAAGAAGACGGAAAGGAGAGGAAAGAGAGAGACCAACAAAAAGGAGGAGAGCTGGAATCACATGGTCTTGTTTGGTTGATGGGTCCTCCTTCCTCCGCCCGACAATTATGAGCTGAAAGTTGCCCAAAAAGACTTTCCTCTCTTCCTTCCTCCCCATCTCCATCTCTCGCCGGAAAATCATGGCTGACGATAAGGTAACATTCTATTATTTTCTCAGAAAATTCGTCTGAATCTGTTGTTACCGAGAAAATTCTAAAAAGCACATAATTTCATGTCCAAATTGTGTTTGTTAGCATGGAATCCACGCCTTAGATTTGAAATCCGAGAAAAAAAGTAGTTTAAAGACGCCGATTCCATGCTATCGAACGCAATCTTATAGTCTTTATGGCTCAAAACCGAAACGTTCGTCTAAATTGTGCGTGGTTCACTCTGGATTCTTTTTCATAGAATTTTTTCCCAAACGGAGGATTTAATAGGTTTTTTTTTTTTTAAATGATGGTGTTTTGTTTCTTTTTATTTGTATTTTCTCTGATGTGATTGTGATTCTAGGGTTTGACATTGTGAATCTCTTGTGCGTTTTATTTGCCGACACTATTTTTTAATTTTCTGTTTATTTTTGGAGAGATTTAAATCCTTTTTGACATACGATTTGATTTGGCGGAACTTTCTGTTAGATCGTTGTTTATTTTTCATAATTTTACTTTATTCGTATATATATAACAATTTTATTCGGTCTCTGTACGTAAATTGCTGAATTACTCTTCAGGTTTTTTTCTCTGATTTGATTTGGCTGCCATGAGTTTTTTTATGGTTATTTTTCTGTATGAATATCATCGGTTTTGCTATGTATCAGTGCATAGCTTCAAATGTTTGTGAATCTGATTCTTTCTTGCTTCATCCGTGCTTTATCAATTCTCTTGAGTAATCTATTTCTTAAGATCTTTGCTTTTTAACTTATTTATTATTATTATTTTTTATTTTCTCTTACTTTTGTGAATTGAAGGATAATTTATGCTTGTTGTATTGTCAGTTCTAAATGGTCTAGTAAATGCCTATGTAACATCTTGAGTTGGTATGTCTTGCAGGAGATCTCTGCCCCTGTCGTTGATGGGAATGATGCCGTCACTGGTCACATCATTTCTACAACCATTGGAGGAAAAAATGGGGAACCCAAACAGGTAATACTACTTGGTTGCCTCTGAACGTTGTGTTATTGATTCATACATTTTTCACTGTATAAATGAATTCTCAGGGAAGACTTTGATGTAATATCCTTTACCTATCCCACTCCTTAAATCTTCTAGGCCACAATTCTTTAGTTTGCTTAGTTGAATTTTTTTTTTGTTCGTTCTTCCAAACCTTAAATTACTTACAATACTACAGTCAACAATTGTACAAGTAGTCGATCTTCGTGTTGGAAGATTATATATATTGTGTAATTCTTCTTGCAGACCATCAGTTACATGGCAGAGCGTGTTGTCGGGACGGGATCGTTTGGAATTGTTTTTCAGGTATTTAGATTGAATTCATTGCTATTTTACCTTTAGCGGCATTTTCTACTATCTCATTTGACCTGAATATACTCTTTCCCTAAGGCAAAATGCTTGGAAACTGGAGAGACTGTGGCTATAAAGAAAGTTTTGCAAGACAGGAGATACAAGAATCGCGAGCTGCAATTAATGCGCACAATGGATCATCCAAATGTGATTTCTCTGAAGCATTGTTTTTTTTCCACTACAAGTAAAAATGAGCTTTTTCTCAACTTAGTAATGGAATATGTACCGGAGACCATGTATCGGGTTTTAAAACATTACAACAATGTGAACCAAAGAATGCCACTCATTTATGTGAAGCTTTACACTTACCAAGTATGTGTGATTCTCCCTTTTTAGGTTGCATTATCCTTTCTTTTCCCTCCATTGACACTAACTAGGGGGTGTTTTCCAGATTTTCAGGGGGCTGGCATATATGCACACTGTTACTGGAGTTTGCCATAGGGACTTGAAGCCTCAGAATCTTCTGGTATGCATTTATCAGACTCTTGATTTGAGATAGTGTTACAAAAAATTCCTGAGGCCATTGCTGGCTTTTCGCAGGTTGATCCTCTTACCCATCAGGTCAAGATTTGTGACTTTGGAAGTGCAAAGATGCTAGTATGTGCAAACCCTTTTGTCAGATTTTTTATTACTATTAATTCTGTTTTCATCTTTTTTCAATCCAATGCATGTACAATACTTTTTAGATGACCAATTCAATTTGCTCCAAGTATCATTAGGACTTCGTGTCTGTTGTGAAATTGGTGACAGATTGTGGAGGGAAATTTTCCCATCAATCATAGCACACCACGCGTCCACGAAACAAGGATAGCCCATCATTTAAATAAATGGACCAACAGCCCAATACCGTCGAAAGCCCACCATTGAGAGGCACTGAGACACTCAAATCAGCCCAAGAAGAGGAACGTGGCCCAGGATAAGGGCATTAAACGACCCATAACGCCTGTCATCACAAAGAAATATGGCCCTTGATCACCCACACAGAAAACTGTTAGTAACGGCCCCAAGAAAAGCTGTGTATACGCATATAAATAAAAGATCAATGAGAAGGGAAAGGACATCATATTTTTCAGTCGATCTGATCTTCTTCTGCCTAAATTATTTCAATTCAGCAATATTATCTTTGCTATAATTTTTATTTCTCTCAAGTGTTTCTGGTGTTAAATTTTGCACCTACACTGATCTTTCACGAGGCAGATGCTGGAAAATAATGGATAAATTTCACTTCACTTTCTGTGATGGGTTATTTCTTCCCGAACTCTGAACTCTGGGACGAATTGTGTTGTTGATGAGATGAATATTTATATAATTTTCTGCTGTCATTTTTCTCTAGAAGTTCTTTTAAAAAATTTAAGCACCAACTATATTTACGGGCTATAAAATCTTAAGAGAATGACACTGCAAAATATTATCTTGTTGCAGAATATGTTGTGTCAGATGTGAAACCACCTTGGTTTATTGTTAGCAAAAGTCAGCTTTTATCTTTTCCTTATTATCTGATAGCCTGTGTTTATCACCTTTATTGGTATGAATGCATATTCTTAGATATGATGTATATGACATGCCTCTTGATAGCACCAGCAAGAATATCTATGATTTTGATTCACTGTTGTATGCATTCTATGAGCACGGACACATCTAAAGGGGGACATACCTGTATCGTGTCTGTGCGGATACGAACACTCCCTGAAATCTTGCGCGTACATGCCTGATCCTTCCGAAGTGTATCCATAATTTGAATATCATGTGTGTGTGTGGGTGTGTGTGTGTGTGTGTGTGTGTGTGTGTGTATATATATATAATTTCTAACACATCTATATCTGCATTAAGACAAACTGATTGAACTTCATGTTAACTGGTCTTCCCATAATTTGTGTAACGTATCAATCCATTTGTTTTTAGGTGAAGGGCGAAGCAAATATATCATACATATGCTCACGTTTCTATCGGGCTCCAGAACTCATATTTGGTGCCACAGAATATACTACCTCAATTGATATCTGGTCAGCTGGTTGTGTTCTTGCTGAGCTTCTTCTTGGTCAGGTCAGTAGCATTTCCCATGTTCTGCTTTTTCTGGCCATATCCTCAAGGGTATTTTAGTTATCCGGTTTCACAATACTTGGCCAACTTCTCATTTCATTTTGTTTTTCAGCCCTTGTTCCCTGGGGAAAATGCAGTGGGCCAGCTTGTTGAGATCATCAAGGTACAGTTACACTAAAATTGCAGTTCTTGTTGTATTGTGATTGTTTCTCATTCTTTGTTTTCTCCCTTGAATGGTATTTTCTCATATTCCGTTTTACAGGTTCTTGGAACACCAACACGAGAAGAAATTCGCTGTATGAATCCAAACTATACTGATTTTAGGTTTCCACAAATAAAGGCACATCCCTGGCACAAGGTATGACATATGCATATTATTCTCCTTTTATTTAGATTGATGTTTCACCATGCATTAGAAAGTAGGGATGGGGACATGGCATCCCTTACCTTACCTGACTTCACCCCAAGGAACATAAGCTTCTTCTAAAACCTATCCCATTTTGCAAGACTAGCATATTTCCATCTGGTTGCACAATCCTCGAATTCATGCTTTAAATCAATGAAAGTGGCACCATTCGAGTTGGGGAATGTATTCAAAATTTATCATATTGATTAAAATAGCATGTCACATGGGACAGTGAGCTTGTTACAGCATATTCTTATTTCGTGGCAATTGAACCGTACGCATCAAAGGTTGAAAATCTGGAGGGTTGATATAGAGGCTTCAAGGCGTCGCCTCTCAGCTCAAAAGCAGTGTGGGATAAGTTGATTTGAATTTATGTCTTCTCAATCCCAATACCCCACAGTATGGTTATAGCAGTGCGTTATGTTCAAGTAAACCACAATTACTTGCCTCCTTCATTGGAACTCTACTAGAATCACTTAGAATTTTTAAATCTTTTGCAGAGCCAGCTACACATGTGCCTTCAGTACGGAAACTATCCAGGCCATCAGGGCTGTTTGGTGGTGGTTAAAATCCATTCCTGTCCCTCCGCCGAATCCAAGTCGGGTTCTATACATTTTTTAATCCCTGTCCCAATAGGGGGGTGGGGTTGGTCCCAAAAACTTGGGCCGGTTACATTCACTATTAGAAAGTAAATGTACCTCTTTCAAACAATCAAATGTAACTAGTACAGTTGGGACAATGCCAAAATCTAAACAACATTCATCCATTGTACTCTCAATGAAATAAAACAGGGCCTTGTCCCTACTATTATGGGTTTGTTACATGATTCCTATTTCATTTATCTTACTTATAGGAAAAACATAAACTCATCTTGTTTCTTTAATTTTGAATTTTCAATATTTGTGGTGGGAATATTCACCTAACCGCTGAATGAAGCAAGTATTTACAAATCCTTTCTTATGAACAAATTAGTAAAAAGTAGTGTAAGGCCCATTAAGCACCAGGTATGGAATGCTTAAACAAGCTCAAGATGAGCAACAACAATCTAACAGTATCCAACAAAATTGCTTCCTGAAGGACGGGACCACTGGATGTGAGGGAAAAATTTTGTGTTCGGATGAAAACATCCTTATTTCTAGAGTTGTGAATTAACGATCTTGAAAATTCTTCGTTTCTTTCTATCCACATCCAGCATAGAAGACATAACGATTCTGTCATCAAAGTAAATTGGCTATATTAGTTTCTAGCTATGAACCACCATTCAATACAGCAACCACTGAAGAGGGCAGTGCTTACAAAAATGTTCAAGTATTACTGTAGTACAAATTATATTGGTTTCCCCTTCATATTAAGAGCTAGATGTTTATTTACCTTTTAGAATTTTGGTTTCAGGTTTTCCACAAACGGATGCCTCCTGAAGCAATTGATCTCGCTTCGCGACTATTGCAATATTCTCCAAATCTTCGCTGCACTGCAGTGAGTTTTATTCTGCTTTCACTTTATATGAATATTTTAATTGGTGTAGTTGTGTGAGTGTAACACTCATGAGTCATTATTGTTCAATGTTTACCTGCAAATAAATAGTGAGGTGATTCAATAATCCATCTTCTTGTCATATCACTTTTTTCCCCTTTTAATTGCAATTTAACTGCAATGTTGGTTTTTTTCCCTTCAGGCATATGTACCATTCACCATTCTCTTACTTGACTATGCCTTGTTCTTGATGTTACAGCTAGAAGCCTGTGCACATTCTTTCTTCGATGAGCTTCGAGAACCCAATGCCCGCTTACCAAATGGTCGTCCATTACCACCTGTTTTCAATTTTAAGCAAGAGGTATGTATTATAATTTATGAAACTTTTCTTACTTTTAGGTTGAACATCTTTTAAAAGATGAACCTGAGTGAAAAACTTCGTTAAAAACTGATAAAATTGATTGAGATAAAATAGAATGTATTAATTAGATAAATACTAATTAATACGAATAAGAATTTTGTGAGATATTAAAAGAAAAAAATATTTGGTGAAAATTGATAAACAATTATTGAGATTTAATTAAAACGTAGGTTTCATTAAATTTTCTATGGATAAAATGTGAATTTTTTTATGGTAAGTTATACGGATGGAGTGGGGTTGTTGAGGAGAAGGTATTACACAGTGAAGTAAGTGGTGGTCTGAGGTGATTAAGCGACCATGAAAGTTGAAGCAAGCAAGCAAGTGTGCATGTTTGAGTGTGTGTTAGTGGTTATTAATGAATACATAATTAATTATAACTTTAGAAGGCTTATACTTTAAATTAATCATATCTCGTCATCGGTGGGAGTACTACTATATCTATATGGAATTTTGTTGTGCGCACGCTAATGAGCATGCGTGCATGTGGGTTTTTGTTTTTTTCTTGGATTGATTTAGATGTTAAAAATATATCCATACTCCATCAGTAGTGGGAGAATTACCATTGATTGCAGAGTAAAGCTATTTCTAATATGTAAGCACTTTCATTCTTCTGGTTACAGTTGTCTGGAGCTTCTCCAGAACTTATTAATAAGTTGATACCAGAGCACGTACGGCCGCAAATGGGTCTAAATTTCTTGCACCCATCAGTCACATAAACCTGAAGGAATGGCATGGAATGATTTTCTGCTAATTGATGAGTGAGACACGAAGAGATCTGCATTGGAGCCTGCCTGACCAGAAGTATTTCTTGTTCGACAAGAACACGTAGGGAATCTGGCATCCAGATGGCTGCGCTTCCATGACATGAAGTTTACCTTTGCTTTATTTCTTTGCCTTTACACCACCTCCTCCCGTTAAAGAAAAAGGGGAAAATAATTTGTCTTGTATATGTTCAGTAGTAAGTAAATCAGAGAACTTTTCGCAGAAGGAAGAATACGAGGTAAAAGTGTACTTAGTAGTGTACTTGGCTAGGAAGAAAGAACAGATGAGGGAGGGGGGTGGGCTTGTCCGCCGTTGTTGATTTTGTTCTACTGCCATATTGTTTGCACTTTGTGTTTGTTGTGGCTGACTTCAAATTGCAGAAGAATGTTGATACACACTTCTTGCAAAGAAATATTACTACTTTTTTGTACCTTGGCTTCCAGTTAGCTTGTTAAATTTACATGTTTCATTTGTTGGCATTTCACTTGTTTCGTAGCACCATAGAATTGGAAAATGGGGCATGCAGGTTTCAGATGTTAGCATTATGCTGTGCTTTGAGTTGTGCTGAAAATGTTGTGATTTCACGGGGAGGGAATGTGATCCGGCCAGTTGTTCTGTTAGCATTGGGCATGCAGATAATACATTTCTTTGCATCCTTGAATAAGGTTGAGGCTGAGGGAGGGCATCAGAGCCCCTATCAAACTTGGCAACTACACACTGGGTGGAACTCTCCTCTGTGTTTCAAATATGGTCTATTTTTTGTGTTTGGCTTGACCAATTTCTAAGTTGTTCAGAGACCAGATATTGAAAAGGACGTTTTGAGAAACACGGAAAACCTAGCACTTCAGCCCATATTAAATTTTATTTCTTTTCTGTTTTATACTGCATTATTATTATTATCATCCTCCTCTTGGAAAAATTATACCCTACCATAGGATAGCGGTTTTGAATATTCCGGCTAATCAAAACACTCCCATTCACCTCATTTCCGATTATCTCAGGAGTAGTGGTTATTAAATATCGACCGTCAATCAAAACACCCCATTTCCTATCAAGGCAAACGGAGGGTGAATGAGTCTCTTGATTGGCCACTTCGAAAATTCCTTGTGGTGCTACATTTCCTTGATCATAATTACCACCAAATATAATCAAGCTATAGCTTCATTTTTCACCCAAGCATTTTTCATAATTATACATAGGAGACAATATCTCAAAATTGTCCATAATTGAAAGTTTCAAATAAATGATTTTTAATTTGACAAGCTCCTTGAGAAGTTGTTTTAGAATGAGTTGTCATTCCTTTCTCAGAAGATAAAAAGCAGCTCTAAAGATATATATATAAATTAAAAAAAATTAGCAATGCAACCAACAACCTTGGCCCCCACTCAATGACAATAAAAAAAAGATTCCGTTGCCGGGACTTGAACCCGGGTCTCTCGGGTGAGAGCCGAGTATCCTGACCAACTAGACTACAACGGAAGTTGTGACACTCTACCTATTCAAAATATCATATTAAATTTCCAAATGCTGCACTGTTACGCAAATCAAGGAGAGCTTCAAAATTTCAAATAGAAAAGTTATGCTATCTTGTTCTTTAGGTGACTTAGCAACAATACATGCATTGCAGCATCCACTACTTTTCAATAATCATTATCATCTACCCAAATCTGCCATTTTATTTTCAAGAGCAATCAGTGGAAAATGAAGGAAGTGTTCAGCTCAATTTCCTTAATTATGGAGTCTGTTAAAACTACTCGTAGATACTTTTAAGTTCTATTTGACCGTTTGATCAATTCCCTTTCTGCAAGTGAAATTTCGATCTCCTTGTTGCCAATGATTTACTGCTGCGTAAATGCAGTCATATCAACCAGCAAAGTAGTCATGTTAACAAGAAATGCAGTGTTCCCGGAAGGCTGATCTGTCAAGATGTCGGAGATCATGCAACAGATGCATCGTGCAAGATTTTATTGTAACCGAAGAGACAAAAAGAATGAACATTCAGGCCATTACACCGTGATCACAATTCTAAATTTACACACAATAAATTTGAAAGCCACTGATTCCATTTGAATCCATCAATCAAAGAGGGAGGCAAAAGAGGTTCAAACAGGTTCAAACATGTATGGCATCAAACATAAAAAAAGTTGCCATTTCTCCTACGACCTTAGCAGTTCGACCAGCTCACTCTTTTTCAGTTTTGAGTAACCTTTGATTCCTCTAGATTTTGCAAGTTTTTTTAGTGCAGGAAGTTTCATTTCCTCAACTTTCTGCAACTCTAACTCCTTGTAACCAGCTGTGGCAGATGATGCTTCAGTCTTCATCTCAACAACCTTGCCTTTTGGGGTTGATGAAGATGGGACCGGGGATCTCTTCACAAATTTAGATGGTGGTCTAGTCAGTTTAAGGTCTGCTATCGATGGATCATCCTCCATATTCCTCTCTTTCTCCAAGAGATCTCTTCTGCCACTCAACACTTTGTCTACAAAATTTACAAGAATCTGAATAAGATTAAAAGGGAATAATGAAGACAGTTGGATCAGTTTTAGCATGGCTTTATAGACACCATTGTGATAATGACTTACAATGCAAAACTTTGTTTGTTGAGATAATGAGACAATTTGTAAGTGGTGTTTGAAAGGGGTGGAAGTGGAAATTAGCAGTGTTAGAAGAGAGTTAAGTGTCAATTGTAGAAATGTCAGCAGTGATATCAGCACGAAGTGGAAATAAACCACTTGAGGAACTGATATTCGCTGAGAAGTGCCATTTACGTACCCCTTGTTTCTCTCTTTTCACTTCACCCCTAAAAGAGTAGAAGCAAGATATGATATTCACTTTTCTATAGGTTGCCCATTTCATTTTTCCTTTCTTAGTAACCGGGCTATGATATAAGCTTCCATGTTTTCTTCACCTTCCTCTTTAACCTTTTTAAATGAAACGGAATAGGGATTACAATTTAATAAGATTCAAGCTAAAACTAGCAGTAAAATCAATTTGTTCCAGTCAAAATGAATAAAGTCCTTTCCACATTTGTCACAAGTGATTAATTTATTTGCATTACCTTTTACTTGCTTCCTTGATTGACGAAGAACCTCCAAAACTGATTCAGCTGAGGGCTTATCTTCAGATGAGAGGGAGCTTTTCTTTTTGGCACTTAAAGACTCTCCATTTGATATTGAAGACTGTATTCGTCTAAAGAGAGCAATGATTTCTTCCTGGTTTGACGAATTGGATGATTTACCATTAGATGATCGAGGTATCTTATTGTCATCCCCCCTTGTGGTTCTTCCGGTGGTAGTATATTTTCTAGGAGGTTGGCCCCTCCTATTTCCATCAGCTCTTATGCTTGAAACAGTTAATTGGATACTTTCCTTTTGGGAGGCAAACAATGAAGGCCTATCTGCAATCTCTGCCAAATTCAAGAAGCTGCATCAAAAGATGATTCCTCAGCTTGAAGTCCAAAAAAATTTCATGCCCAGAAACAATATGTGAATATGCTGATTTCAAAATACCATGCACGTTGTAATTAACCATGGAAAGGAGAAAAAGAGACTCCATCAGCTGATTAAAAATTAGCAAATAACATTGCAGCAAGAGAACCAGGTACAGGCTATTTGTTTGAATGCAGATGAGTGCAATATATATGCAGATCAACTTATATACATAAAAAGAAGAACATAAAAAGATTCCACAACTCCAACTAAAGGAACAAATTAAAAATAAAAATCCAGTTTTACGGGGTTTTCAACACAAACTTGAGAAACCAAGTGTGCATAAAGATGAACCTCAATAGCTTATCTAAGAAAATGACAAAAAAGCATCATTTGATACGATCATGTAAGCTCTACTTTTTTTGGAATCAACCAGGAGCTCAAGAACACATTAAAATTAGCTCAAATCAATCCACAAGGATAAATTGATTATACTGGATTTGCTACCTGGCATGGGAGAGTCTATTCTCTAATCTGTTGAAAGGTATGCCTGCCAAACTTCCTAACACACCAATTCATGGATCTGATCTCCAGATATTATGGCTAGAGCCGCTAGACACGCGTTTGGATTAGTTACAAAGGCTAGCCTCACGAGTCACTTCCCATAATAACTTGTGATGTCTCTCTGATGCAGATCAATTGGTTTTGCAATTTATGTAGAAATAAAAATAAGGAAAATCACAAATGCAGCATGCTAATGATCACTACAAAGAAGATCATGAAAGATGCTAATAATCAAGCAGTTGTGGTTTAGCACATGCCAACCTAATCCATGTGCTTAGACAATTTAATTTTGCTCCTTGTTATGTACATCAGACTGCAGTTTTGCATATTTTTAGGTTATCTTCCAAGAGCCATATTTAATACCTTCTTCTTCCTTCTTCGTTTCAGCTTACGGCTAATTCCAGAATGATTGGGGTGGAGATACTACCGGTGGATGCCAACTAATGGTTTGGTTTTTGCATATATATTATAGAATTGTTTTTAAGAGAAGTAAGAAACAAAATGTTCTTGCTCTATCCACGGATGAAGCTGAGTACGGCACTATGTCTCACACTACAACACAAATCGAGTGGTTGAGATGGTTGTAACATGATAATCAGTGTCTACTTATCCTCTTCTCCTATGTACTGTAGCAACAAAAGTGCCATCCAAATTGCTCATTTTTCACAAATGGATAATACTTATCGAAACAACTGCAATTTCATGTTTTATGTATTTTTTAGGACAGTGTTCTTTTGATTCTGCATATTTGATTTCCTTTTGTACATATATACCTTTATGTATCTACTTTTCCAAGTATTATGAACAATGATTCCTGGGCAAAATATTTAGCAACTTTTCAATTATTAATAGAACTTGTGTCCATAATTTACACAATATTATGCCAAAGAAGATGAGATACGCCACAAAAATCAAAATACAGACATAACAAGTTCCCTAAAACAAACCCAATTTTCAACAGAACAGAAATTGATAAGCTCAAATGCAACAGTATCCAGCAGGTCCATCAAACTACAAAGGACAGAAGCACTATACATATATACATGTATGTACACACACATTTATATTACGAATAATAATTGCACTTTTACATGTATGTATGCACACACACATTTAGCAGATAACGTTTAAATTCTGAGTAGAAGAGTACTTAATAAGATGAGGTTTCTCGGAATGAGAAAGTAGGGTTAGGGTTGGGGAAAAAGAGAATACCTTTCAGGGAGAAGATGGGGTTTCCTAGATTGCGCTTGTTTAAGCCAGAGAAACTGGGCAAGCGAAGTATGGAACGAGGATAGAAAATTACTGCATCCATAATTTTCCGGGAAAATGAGGGATTCTGGAAGACTGCCAACGAAAATAATTAGATTCACATCCTCAAAATGGATTAGACTAACATAACACAACAAGTGTGTGCATATAAATCGTTTTTTTTAATCTTGAAAAGGCACATCACTGCCGGGATTTCAAGTCCACGCATCTCTAAATCGCGTGTGAACCACGCGCCTCTTCTGAAATCGCGAAGTGGGTTTGTTCATGTGTCCCAACCCAAGTGCCAATCTGTAAGTTCTTCTGGTTGAAGTTTTCCCGCGCTTTTTTCCTTCTGAAGCCATGTTATGGATAAACAAAAGCACCACACAGTTATGGGTTTATCCACCACAGCACAATCAGAGCAAAAGATCTCTCAGAAACCAAAATGGTACCATTTTCTTCAAACCATCCTCAAGAACCCCTTTTGTATCTTTCAATTTTGATATTTCATGTACCACCATTAATACCTCTGTGTCGCTCAACCAAACCCTAGATCACAAAAATACAGATCACAACAGTCAAATTTGCAAATTTTGTGAGGTGGGAAATCTGAAAATGGCCATGGACTTGCTTTGCAAGTCTCAAACTTCGGAGCTGGATTCAAAGACTTATTGTTTAATCTTGCAGCTCTGTGCGGATATGAAGTCACTAAATCACGGTCGTAAAGTTCATTCCCTTATTTCTTCGAATGGTGTTGAAATTGAGGGTGCGTTGGGTGCTAAACTTGTATTTATGTATGTCACTTGTGGAGATTTAGTAGAAGGAAGGCGGGTTTTCGACAAGGTTGCCAATGAAAAAGTGTTTCTTTGGAATTTGTTGATGAATGAGTATGCAAAGTTTGGTAATTTTAGGGAAAGTTTATTTCTGTACAAAAGAATGCAGGAGTTGGGCGTCGAAGCCAATTCTTATACATTTTCTTGTGTTTTAAAGTGTTTTGCAGCTCTAGGAAGTGTAGAGGAAGGTGAAAAGGTTCACGGGTATTTGTTGAGGTTGGGATTTGGTTCTTATAATACAGTTGTGAATTCTCTAATTGCATTCTACTTTAAGTGTAGAAGAATCGAGAGTGCACGTAAATTGTTTGATGAATTGGGTGATCGAGATGTGATATCATGGAATTCTATGATAAGTGGTTATGTGGCAAATGGCTTACCTGAGAAGGGAGTTGAGATTTTCAAAGAGATGCTAAGTTTGGGAATTAGCGTGGATTTGGCTACAATGGTCAGTGTTCTTGCAGCTTGTGTAAATCTGGGTACACTTCTGCTGGGTAGAGCACTTCATACTCATGGAATAAAAGGTGGTTTCAACAAGAAAATCATGTTTAATAATACTTTACTGGACATGTATGCAAAATGTGGTGATATGGATGGTGCGATTCGTGTTTTTGAGAACATGGAAGAAAGAAGTGTTGTGTCATGGACTTCAGTGATTGCTGGTTATGTTCGAGGAGGTCTGTCTGAGAAGGCGATTGAAATATTCTGTGAAATGAAAAGGGAGGGAATTGACCCTGATATATTTACTATTACAAGCATCCTCCATGCTTGTGCTTGTAGTGGCTCATTGGAGAATGGAAAGGAAGTACATGATTACATCAGAGAGAACAATTTACAATCAAATCGGTTCATCTCTAATGCTCTCATGGACATGTATGCAAAATGTGGAAGCATGGAAGATGCTCTCTCTGTTTTCTCTCAGATGCCTGCTAAGGACATTGTGTCATGGAATACCATGATTGGAGGTTACTCGAAGAATTCTCTTCCCAATGAAGCACTTGATTTATTTGTTAAAATGAATCATGAATTAAAGCCCGACAATGTAACCATGACTTGTATACTTCCAGCTTGTGCAAGCCTGGCAGCTTTAGATCGAGGCAGGGTGATCCACGGCTACATAATGAGAAATGGGTTATCTTCAGATCGATATGTTGCCAATGCACTTATTGACATGTATGTGAAATGTGGTGTTCTGGTTCTTGCACAATTACTCTTTGATATGATCCCTTTAAAAGATCTTGTGTTGTGGACAGTTATGATTGCTGGATATGGCATGCATGGTTTTGGGAGTGAAGCTATTGCGACCTTTAATAAGATGAGACATGCAGGTATCGAACCTGATGAAGTTTCTTTTATTTCTATTCTCTATGCTTGCAGTCATTCCGGATTGCTTGACGAAGGATGGAGATTCTTTAATATTATGAAAAATGATTGCAATATTGAGCCCAAGTTGGAGCACTATGCTTGTATGGTGGATCTCCTTGCACGTGCTGGGAAGTTACCAAAGGCATATACATTCATTATAAAAATGCCAATTAAGCCAGATGCCACAATCTGGGGCGCTTTGCTTCGTGGGTGCAGAATCTACCATGATGTGAAACTTGCAGAGAGAGTTGCAGAACATGTTTTTGAACTAGAGCCAGAGAACACGGGGTATTATGTGCTCCTAGCAAATATCTATGCAGAGGCAGAAAAATGGGAGGAAGTGAAAAAATTGAGGCAGAGGATTGGCTGGCATGGCTTAAGGAAAAACCCAGGATGTAGTTGGATAGAGATCAAGGGAAAAGTTCATATCTTTGTTGCCAGAGATAATTCACATCCACAGGCCAAAAAGATAGTCTCACTATTGAAGGAGACGAGAATGAAGATGAAGGAAGAAGGTTACTCCCCAAAAATGAGGTATGCTTTGATCGATGCAGATGACGTGGAGAAGGAAGTGGCTCTTTGTGGACACAGTGAGAAGTTGGCCATGGGTTTTGGGATATTGAACTTACCACCTGGCAAAACCGTACGGGTAACTAAGAATCTTAGAGTATGCGGTGATTGTCATGAAATGGCCAAGTTCATGTCCAAGATGTTTGAGAGGGAGATCATTCTGAGAGATTCCAATCGCTTTCACCATTTCAAGGATGGGCATTGTTCTTGCAGAGGTTTTTGGTGAACCAAGTGGGTGGTGGGTATTGTGTGAAGGAGACAGTTTCCAAGTCTCACCCTCACACAGGTTGATACTCCAGAATTGATCTGTGTAGATAGTTGCAACATGGAAGTGATCATATCCTGAACAAGAGAATCTAACATCAGTCTCATTTGGTTTTTTCAATCTAACTTAGCATCCAGGGAACAACCAGGTATTTAATTTGCATCAAATGTGAGTTGTTGAAAGTTTGATGATCTACCTAACCTAGTCACATACTAATTGCATTTTCTTCAAGATGCGCTCCCTTCATAAATGTTAATTTAGTTGAAACAAAGGTTTTGCTGTGCAGTTATCATGCTCTCCTGATGAATTTCTTGCTTCTTTCAGACCCTGGAGATAGTGGAAACATTCAAAGAGGCAAAGGTTTTTCCCCTGCTCTCTCCAATAGAAAGCCTTGTCTATTTGCTGCTCTGCACCGAGACAAATAGGCTGCCAATACATATAAGGCTGATTATGGGTCTGCCTTTAATGAGGTATCATGAGAATGAATATTGCAAGTTTTGGTGATTCTATATTCTGAATCTTTTCTGATCAAACATTTTCTTTGTTAATACTTGTAGAAATTCCTTGGATAAAATCGGCATGCTCAAAATTTTCATGCATTCTGGTTTTGGACATTTATGACAGCATAAAGGAAAAGAACTTGAGTTAGTGGAGGCTATTTATTTAATAATAGACAATTAGTTGAAGAGTATAGGAGTAAGCAAAAGAATCTATCTATATATGGTCTTCATAGATTTTGAAAATGCATATGATAGGGTGTTGAGTGATATAATTTGGTGGGCTTTAAAAAGAGAACAAATTCCTATATAAATAATAAGGATTATTCAGGATATGTATATAAATACAAAACGTAGAGTTCGCACTACATGTGGTGAGATTGGTGATATTTATATTAAACATAGGATTGTACCAATGGTCTGCACTAAATCCATATTTATTCACAATAATTAGTAGAATTGGAGCAGGTTGGACAAAATAGAGACAAACTAGTGGCATTTTATGCGATAAAAGAATAGCAAATAAATTAAAAGAATTTTTTATTGAAATGTTACCATCCAATTTTTAAATATTACTTTCAAAAAAGGGGGGATTTGTCTATTCTGTTCAAAAAAATGGGGGAATGTTCATTTGCTTGAAACAGTTCCCAAATAACTGTTTCACGTCTTTGACTGCACATAGAACCTTTATTAGGCCTACCATTTTATATTGTGCAGAGTGTTGGGTTTTAAAAAGAAACAGGAACAAAGAATTCATGTAGCGAAAATGAGTTTAAGATGCATGATAAGGGGTGGCTAAGAGTGATATCACCAATCAACATGCGAGGGGGAATTTATAGGAGTGGCACCTATTAGTGAAAAACTAAGAGAGATTACACTTAGCTGGTAATCTGGTATGGACATATACAAATAAGACCTATAGATGCACCGATAAGAAGAGGAAGACTAATTTTTATGGAAGGTAGGTGACAAAGAGGACAACTGAAGTTAGCATGGAATGACAATGATTTTTAGAAGTTGAACATTATAGGGAAGATGGCTTGTAATAGAAAATAATGGAAAAAGAGAATTCATGTGGCTAACCCCATTCATATGTGCAGAACAAAAATTGTGACCATTTTGATCTTAATACCATATTTTGGTATTGTGATTATAAAACCTGCACACACACACACACACACACACACACACACAAATATATATATACATATATTATGCTTCAAGATTTTCATATACCAAAGTTATACAAATCCCTTGTTCTGTTAAGCAGGCTTGGGGAAGTATGTGTTTTTGAGAAGCTTTTAAACTGCAAGCTGCACTGTAAGCTCTCCTAATTCATCCTCTAGTTTTGATTATAGCAGAATCCACCAAACATAGTTAAGGCTTAAGACACAGATCTTTCTTGCTCATGCTTCTACCACAAGGTTTGTTACACACAAGCTTTGAGCAAATAAATTCATCTCCTACTCAATATTAGATAAATTCCCAAGTTTGGAATCATTTCTAAGAAATATATCCATTTCCATGTGAATCATTGCTTATTTGATTATAGATTTGCCCTTAATTTCTGGTCTCACACACACAATACCAGATAAATTTATTAGTTTGGAGTTTGGACTCATATTTAGGAAACAGATCCATTTCTATGTTAATCTTAATACTGCCCCAAGGGCCAATGCTCAGGGAAAAAAAACACAACATTTGACTATATATTTATGTCCAGAGTGATATGAAACTGATTGTAAAAAAAAAGACAAAGAAAAGACAGAAGATGCTTAGGTTTTATAAAATAACCTCACTGGAGAACATTTTAACTTTGATGGGCTTTTATTTTGATCAAATTTAATGAAAGTTTGATAAGCTGGAAGCAGCTCAATGGGACCATCCCAAGATTCTTTGAGAAATGATGAAATTAAAGTATGAAAGTTTCAATTGGGATTTTACTCCTTTCACCTCCAGTGGGCCCTGTGTAACAGGCTGGTTGTGTTCATCATGGATGTATCAACAATCATCACAGATCTACAATCCTTCTTGCTCCAATTCTTGCGGTTTGCTCCAACTGTTTGAGTGGGGCTACCTTGCCAGCTCAGGTTCACCTCTATGGTTTTTTTATTAAGGGAGGCTAGTCATTAACTGAAGTTTAAAGTGCTTTTAGTGCCCTCTTAAACAGAAGTTAGTGTATCAGGGCAAAAAAGAAAGACAGAAAGTGTACCTCTTTCCAAAGCAATAAATGAATTAATAGGAGATAAAGGAATTAGCATTTAACCGAGTGAATGCAGCAAAGGGAACAAAAGAAATATAACTCCCTTCCCTCCCTGCTTGCAATTCTTTCCTGAAGCTGCTATTAGAGAATATCTGACCAAATCTAACATCTAATTATTTTTCTTACCAAAAATGATACAATATCCAAAAAGTCGAACTTATCTCCGACTACATTTATGTGGGTAGTTAGATGCATTCGACTTTCAAATACTGTACCACAATTCACGACTCTTTCACTTGCATTATAGGTATAACTTGTCCCTCTAACTGTTAGCGAACTTTGTAGGAGGTGTTTTATTAATAAATCAACCAAAATGTTGTTGAAGAAAAGTAGGTGAATATATTGATGATAAATTTCCCCGAGAGGAATAGAGAGTAAATGATGGCTGTGGATTGTTTCTTATTTGTTTATTTGTAAATTATTTTTCTAAAAGAAATAGTTCTTGGATCCGAGAAGCTAACGGAAAAGACAATGATGACAAACCATCTTGGTTGCATTATAAGTGAAGGGCATGAAAAAGACGGACATTATATTAAGAAAACGTGACATGTACATACATAATTACATATATATTTATACATTTTAAATGATTCTCTCCTGTGCACTCAATCATTTTATACATTTTAAATTAAAAACGCTACAAAGTATACACTACAGTTATGCAATATTGGTATACAAGCATGCAACACATTTAATTAAAAAATATAACAAATTTTATTAATATGCAATAATGTAATAACATGGAAAATGCAACACCTTATTACACGTGTTACATTTGCATTCTGTGATATAATTCGTTGCGTTCTCAGTGCAAATAAACCGGAGAAGATCAGCATATCGAACCAAACATTTGCCATGCACTTTTGTGATTGCCTAGTGCGGCTACTTATCAAGGTTGAACACTTTTACTCATATCATAGGATGATTTACTTGGAAAGCAGTGGTGGAATCGGATATAAAAAGTAGGAGTACATTATTGTGCAAGGAGCACAATTTTTAAAAAATAAACAATATTAAAAATATAGGAAGATGAAAGAAATGAGAAAATATATTTATAGAAATATCTATGTAATACAGAGAGGTAAACATTTGGAGGCTTCGTTCCAACTAAAATTTTGAGACACTCTGTAAAACGCTCTCTTCGTATAGATAGAGTAGAGTTCAAATATTCACCCAAGAGGTAGTTTCAAAAAATTATTTTTACTAACAGATGATGGAATAGAAGTTACAAATATCAAAACAAAAATCATTGGATCTGTTTGGAATATGTTATGATATTGTTTTTGTGATATTGATATTCAAATTTAAGCTCATATCATGTTTGAAATGAATAATATTCAGTGGCAGACACATTGGGGGGCTTGGGTGGGCTTGAGCCCCCTAAAAAAAAAAAAAAAATTTTTAGTATAGTATGTTCAACCCAATTTTTTATTATTTAAAATTCTAATAGTAGTATTAATCCCCCCTTTTAACCCATTCAAAAAAAATTTGCTTATGAAATTGTGAAATTAAATTTATGTTCAATACTTGCCCCTCCATTGACAATTCTTGGATTCGCCCTTGATAATATTAGTTTGAAATAATTCATAATATATAATATTTTTTTGTCTAAATACATATTATTAAATTGGTGATATTGTGCATTTTGATACGATAGCGGAGGAATTAAAGTAAATTTTTAAAATTTTCAAAATAAATTTTCGTTATCAAGTAGTTTGTAGTTTCGAATTCCACTAAAAACACTATTATAATACCAAAAACTATTTATCAAAAAAAAAATATTAACCAAAAACATAAATTCTAAAACATATCCCATATATGGCCCTGGTTACATGCAACAACTTGGAATAGTTAGGACAAGATTCGTTAATTTCTAATAGATTCCACAGCCTACAAATCAATGAATCATAACCAACTGGCATTGTCCTCTTCCCTATTAAATAAAGTTCATAGCTACAGATCGAAACTAGTAGGTGTCTTTAAGTCTAAGGTGGTGCCCACAAGAGAATAGACATCACCCAATCACAACATGTACATCACCTGAAACAAATTGCAAGGTACCACTCTACCCATGCCATCATACCCTATTCAAAGGTTGGTTTTGAGACCTTATGAAGAACTACACTATCAGATCTGTTCGCATTAACATTAATCCAGGAGGGATAAAGGTTTTTTTTTTTTATTTTTTTATTTTTTATTATTCAACTGATATAAAAATCCATCAAATTTTGTTATCAATATATTATTGAGACAATATTTTAAAAATTCGGACAACAGAAAACTGTTCTCATAGAATAATTTTTTTTAATTACCTGAAAGCATGCATTTTTATAATGGAGTTTTTAAAAAAACTAAACAAAACAAATTTTTTTATATAATTTTCTGTTTTCATTTTTTAGTTTTATGATAATAGAATTTTTTTTTCTATAATTACAAGCCAAGTAGGCACTGTTCTTATCTATAACTAATAAAAGTCTTTGTTGAATTGGATTTGCACAAAATAAAATATATAAATATATATATATACACATATTTTTTTTGTATCAACACACCAATCAATTAAATTCATAGAGTTGCATTGTGTTATACATAAACACACACATTTGAGTTACCATAAATTTCAAGTTGCCAAAGAAAATAGTATCAAGCAATATATAAAAGGCAGCTATATAAATGAACATTTTTGGAACATCCATTAGAGACAAAGCTCCAAGGTTACATACAAATGAGTGACAACCTAAACTCAATGAAAGCACATACAAAACGCATTATCGAAATGATGAAAAGTATATGAAAAAGTAAGCCTTGAACCTCAAGAAAAATACATAGATGAATAATATAAATCAACCACCTTTCTCTTCTACAGAACCTAATCATACAACCCACAGTGATCACACCTTTGCATAAAGTGGAAAAAAAATAGAGCCTTTCTCATCATATCCAAAACCAGTAAAAATAATCACACCAATTCAATTCTCTCTCTCTCTCTTCATTTACCCTCTGCAACTACTCTTCTTCATGCTTAATTGTATAATAAATTTTAAAATAAAGGACAAATCGAGTGCACACGCCTCAGGCACTTGATCCCATATGTTCCGATCGCCATTCAAGTTCGTGTAACCTTACCGTCACGTCAAGACTCATGTATAACAAATTAATTAAACAAAATTCATCTCTAATTAATCCTATCATTTTTCTAATGTAAGAAAGAAAAAAAAACCCCAAAACTGGTCTTCATCCACACCATTTTGAGAGCAGAATTAAGAAAACAATGAGAAAGACAATTGATGAAAGCCCAATTGCCACACCAAGAACAACCTTACTTGGTCCATGATGATGACTTTCCTTGTGATTTATGTCATCCCCCATGCTGTAGTCATCGTCGGACGAGCTTCCGCCGCTGCTATCGCCCCCGGACTCCCTGGCCGGCGGCGGCGAGATGGGCAATCCATGTTTGTCACAAGGAGCAATTCCTAGCTTCACTTTTGATGATATGGTTGAATGGTTGTAACAGAGATTGGTATTCCCACCCACCTTGAACACAACCAATCTCTGCAAAAACGAGGCATTGAATGGCATAACTCCATTGAAATTGTTCTTCTCAAGATTCAAGTACTTCAATCCCTTCATTTCTGAAATGAATTTCGGGATTGTCCCATTGAGCTGATTTGTGCCTAGATCGAGGTGAACCAAAGCCGGCATGGCCGCCATTGAATCCGGCACTGCTCCGGACAGCGAATTTGACGCCAACGACACGTTTTGGAGCGAAATTAGGTCGCCAAACGAACTGGGTATCTCCCCATTGAGCGCATTCGAAGAGAGATTCAAGAATTCGAGGTTTTCGAGCTGAGTTAACGAACTGGGTATCTTTCCTTTGAGCTTATTACCGGACAAATCGAGGTGGGTAACGTTCAAATGCCAGTGTTTGGGAAGGTAGCCAGTGAGATTTGAGGCAGTGATGGTGACTGATTTGAGCTTCTTCATGTTTCCGAGGATGATCGACGGACCACTGGCGTTTACAGTCACGCCGGAGACGGTTAAATCGGTGAGGTTCTGCATCCGGCCGAGCCAGACTCCGGTGAGCTTCTTGAGGCTTTTGATGCAAGTGAAGGAGCGGAGATTGGATGTGAGTTCGGAGGGGAAGTGAATGGGTGAAATGGGGCAGTTGATGAACGCGAGATTGGTGAGGGTGGAGAGAGATTTGAGGGCGGTGATGGACATTTCGAGATCGTCGGAGCAGTTGGAGAGGCGGAGGGAGAGGAGGTGGCGGAATGGCTTGGAGGCGTCGCAGGCGGTGGCGTTGTGGAAGGAGGGTTGAATACAGGGGTCTTTGGAGGTGGGGATGTTGAGGGATTGGAGGGCTCTGATCTGTTTGGGATCAAGGGTTGAGGAGGAGGAGGAGGAAGAGGGAGAGGGAAGATGGGAATGGGTTGGGGCTGGGGAGGTTAATGGGGTTGGGGCAGAGGGTGATTTGGTGGGAGAAATGGCGGTGGTGTGAGGAGAGAGAGAAGAGGAGTGAGAGAGTGGGAGGAGAGAGAGTAAGATGAGGAGGATTGGAGGCCCTGGTGCCATTGGTAGAGAGAGAGAGAGAGAGGTGAGTTCAGTGGGAACTGTGAAGGGTGTGTGAAGTGAAGTGAGAACTGGGAAAGCAGAAAGATTGGATTTAGGGGTGGTGAAGTTACAGAAGGACATGTCTGCCCTTAGATTTGGATTTAATTACACAACTTTTTCAAGAGGGAATCATCAATCTACATGTAATGTTTAGGGTGTGTCTGTTTGTTGACTGTTGTTCGCAATGATGGTACTAGAGAGTATTTTGGTCCAGTTTGTATTTTTAAGTATTCTTACAGTAGTACTCTTCAATTTTAAATAGCATTCTTATACATTATTATTTTATACTTTGAGGACACAATAAAAATTGCATATATATTTTCGAATTACGGAGTACATATCTTGCCACTTTGCTGAACTGTAGCGAAAGCAATAATGGCACTTCATCTAATATTATATATGTATATTTTTGAAAAAAAGCTTGCTTTAGGTTGCATAAGTTGGTCTTTTCTTTTTATGTTATTAAGAATCAATAACATGACGTGTGTAAAAAAAAATTAAAAAATTAAATTTGAATACAGGTCAAAAAATAGAAGAAAATTTTATCTTACACGTGTGAAACCTATTTGTGAGTTCTCCCTCTCTTTAACTCACTTCTTCTCTCTCCTCACCAAATCTCCATTAATGTCCACTATCTCCTTAATTCTAAAACCCTAATATTAATCCTCTCTTCCACCAACCGACCTCCACCACCTCCTTGCTTGCCACCTCTTCCATTCCCAAATCATATCTTTTACATCCAATCTTTAGAGATGATTCAAACTATTAATTAATAAATTCCCATAACTCCAGTGACATCCAAAATTTTAAGATTTATCATTATCTGTTGCAATTTGAAGCCAAATTGATTTCTTTAAACTCTATTGATAATTGGAGTTTTACGATTGTGGTTAATTTATCATGTTTGGGCTAATTGTTTAGCTTTTTTCTGTAACAGATTGTAAGATGAAGGATTTGGAATAGAAAATATCAAACGTATGAAGGAAAAAAATTCTTTTTCTTACAATTTTTATTAATTATTTTAAAAAGTTTTTGACACATGCCATATATTTATTGATCTATGGCAGCATCAGAAGCACATTCCTTTTTATGCGGCCTGAGGGAAGTATTGTTCTTTTTTTTTCTTTTCTTTTTTTCATTACACTACCAGATGGTGTGTTATATTTACCAATCTATATGCACAATAGGACCAAAGCAGACGATCAAAAGTTCAAAACCTTCCTAATTAAAATGCTTTTGAAATGAAAAAAAAAAATAAAAAGAAAAAGAAAAGAAAGATCATTATCAAATTGGTTATTTAAACCCAAAGTCTACTCATGAGTCATAATATATCAAGTGATAGATAGCCAGCAATAGTGTGTGATATGGTGATGTTTGTTTGTTGATAATTTATTCGCTTACTTATCAAAAATGATAACCCATGTGGTGGTAAGTGAACTCTTACCTATAATATACACTTAAAACAGACAATATATATATAGAGAGCATAATATGATTCGCATCTAAACTAAAATAACATAAATTAAACATAAATAAATAGTACCTATGAAATAAAGAGAAACAAATAGGAGTCACACTATCTGCATACAAAGCAAAATACAGAAAGAACCTACCTTGAATTTCAAATTATGTAGGCATAAATAAGACATACAAACACATACCACTAAAAATGATAAAAATCAATTACAGAAACTTTAACTAAAATCGTGAAAATCAAGAAAGACAAACAGCTGATCGATACAAGCAGTGGAGAAATTTTTTTTACCCAAATATATATATATATATATATTTAAAATGCTAAAAGTAAAAAACAAACAAATTCATTCAACTTACCTAAGCAAGAGCTTGAATAAAGTCCTGCAGAACAGAACTTACCTTCCATTAGAGCAGCATCAAAATTTTGTTTAAGTGATCGAGCAATGCACGTTTCAGCTGATAAAAAAGAATTTATTTCATGAGCTAAAGAAATCTTGACAGCAAGAATATATATGTGTGTTGCTTCAATCATCTCTAGACTCTAGAGAAGCCATTTGTATGAGCTTTTGATTTGAATTCTTTGTGCAAAGCCATTTCTGAGAGGTAAAGACATTTGATGGTTCAGGTGGTGGGTTCAGTTCATCATTTGGTCCAATTTTTTTGGCCTACTTTTGCTTCAGCCATATTACAGTTCAAAGTGGACGCCTAAGCTATTATTTTTATTTTTATTTATTATTTCGGAGTATGGATAAGGGTTGAAATATTAGAAAAATTCCTTCTTTTTAACTATCGCCATATTTTATTGGGATAATTTTGAGTCCTCACTGCAACAATTGTAATGAATCATGTAATTATGTGAGACACTCGGCAATCAAGTATCATAAATTTTTATAATGTCCTATATAAAATTTTATAATTATAAATAACAAAGATCAGAAACAAATTTAACTCTCCCAATGTCACATGAGTATGAAAATGTAATTAAAAGATAGAGCAAAGGTTATAATAATACATGTGCACAATTAGTTTAATACAAAGTGAAAAGTGAAAAACCTGCTAAGCCAAAAAGTCAACAATATATCAACTTCCATCAACTCAAGTATATTTAATAAACATAACCGAAGGATGTTTTAGAAAATAGCGAAATTATAACTAGTTGGTTTTTTCTTTTTCGGTAAATAGTAATTGAAAAATAGTTGTTGTCGGTTAAACTAATATAAGCTATTTACTTCCCTTGACCCTTTTGTCTTGTGAAAATCAAAGCCTGTCAACTTCTAAAGACCAAAGCACATGTTGGTGTCACTTTTTCCACCTTTTTGTGGTAATGCATCAAGTTTAAAATCAGTTTTCATTGAAACTAAATACATTTGGAGGATCAAGTTAGATTACAAAATACTTTTCATGGTTGGAGTTGTTCGAAATATAAATATATATATATATAAAGAATAACTTGTGAGAAAAAAAAAATTTAATTAATTAAATAAAAATAGTACATTTTTTTAGTGATGCGAGTACAAGTGTGAATTTCATCACATGACATTATCTTGACATCATAAGGTGAACTTTATACTTCCACCCACAAAAATCTCACACGGCATCCTCCGAAGATGTACCATTACTTTAAAAAAAAAAAAAAAATGGAACAAAAAAAAAATGTTTTATTGTAATAAAAATGATAAAATTAAGAAATTACATTTACAAAAACTAAAAGTGAAAGGGGGTAGTCATTGACTCATTACTTTGCTTATTGCTGAGGTTGTCATAGGGTGAAAAGGAAATTTGATGTTGGAGCATGAAACATCTCCGCTAATTCAAAGTTTTATCCGAAAAAAGAAAAAGAAAAAAAAACACGGAACATTTCTGAATATACTTATAATGGCACAATAAAGTTTCAACATAGTAATAATAGTAATAATGCTAATACATAAGGTCAAATTGTCAGTGCTAAACAAACGGTAAAGTATTTGGGCACACGTAGTGCAAGTAACCGTTGGGAACAGTGATTCGTTCAGCACATAGCATACTACATTGGTCCTTGTCAGATAGGTTTAAGTAACGTTAAAATAACCAACATCTGCAAGGAATTTCTATATGATCAATACAAATATATGGTCCGCATAACAAGAAAAAAAAAAAAAAAAGACAACTATTCATGTAATTGAAGATCCAACATTCAAGAAAAGAGTTTCATCAGAGGAGTAAAAAAAAAAAATTTAAATGACAACGCAAAACACATACTGTTATGTTCATGCTTGTATTCGGACTTTTACTCGAATTCGAACCTCTCCCCGCTTTGAGGGTAGGGATATTATACCAGCTGTACCACTAGGCCAAAAGCGCTTTAATCACTAAAGACATTTTACGAGACCATCTTTAAGTGAAGAGTTTCACCATAAATAAACAAGAAGAAAAATATGGATAACCACACATATTATATTTATAATTTTGAAGCATAAAGCAGCAGTGCTAGGAATTTAAACATGGAAGAACTTCAAGAATTCGCATAAAACGTTGTACAAATTGTCAAAATTTTACATGTAATATCAAACTAATCAAAACACCCACTTAGGCAAGAGAACTAAATTCCAAAAATATGGTAAACATTGTTGTGGTGCCTTAACAATCAATGGAAATGCAGCTTGGGGTCATTGCACCATCGTCTTTGCTCACAAATGGATTGATCTTAACCCAAACCAGAGAGAAAACAGAGGCCAAGAGCACTGACCATAGTACAACAATGGTTGGAGTCCGGTTTTGGCGCCCCATAAGACCCTTGAGGAATGGGTACAGATGAAGGATCACCCAAAAGGCAAAGAACACCTTGCCAAAAAGAGGACCCCAAGCTTCATACCCTTTATTTAAAGCATCTGAAAATCCAGCAACAACACCTACCAAGTTGATAATGAGAAGGGTTGTCGGAGGGATCAAAACCGTTGTCCATTTGATGATATACAGTTCACCAAACTCTGTGTCATCGGTTGCCTTTGCAGTGACAGTGAAGTTGGTATCAAGGCCAGCAGTCATTTTGAGAATTCCTTGGAAGACTGCGAATAAATGGGCTGAAACTCCTCCAATCACCCAAAACTGCTCATTACGCCACCAATCTTCGATGCTGACTCCACTCCAGCGCAACTCAAGCACACTGGTCGCGATAATGGAAATGAAGAGCCCAAGAAACCAGATGCTAGCTAGGTTTGAGAGCTGAATCAAGACGCATAGTACTTCACACAGTAAGTTCCTCATATCATTAAACACAAAAAAAAAAAAACGAAAAAAGGAACAGAACAAGTGAAAGAGTAGCATTTGTCATTATTTTACACAAAATGTTGTCATACTAGAACATACAAGCAATGACCTATATATAGTGGCCGGGTCGGTGCGTTTGCTTGAACTTTCGAGGAAAAAAAAAAAAAAAGTTGAACTTTTACTGTTGCACCAAGCAATGACCCTTTACATGCATGATTCAGAGAGCATGAATAATGATTTGTACGTACCAAAATTGCATTTGTACTAGCAGTGTGATTTGCTTTTCCCTCAATATTTTCTATCAGCTATACCAATTTTTCTTTTCCTTGCTGAATTTGGATGTGACAACAATCCCATCATCTTTTAAATACAAAATTGTTCCAACTAAATTGTTTTAATGCTTCTGTTGGTAAAGAAAAAAGCTCTACAAACTCGAATAAGATTTGAAGTTGAAGGTGAAAGAAATTACCGTAGGTATGATGAAATCTCCAGTCAGAAGGCAAATTGCAGGCAGTGTGCAGTATGCAATGAGAGGCAGAGATGTGAATGGGTAAACAATGGTGTTGATGTATGCCAATCTTTGCAGCCACATAAGACGGCCTCCTCCAAATCCATACCACAGGGGACAATGTCTGCTCAGGAAAATTTCAACAGATCCAAGTGCCCACCGGAGAACTTGGTGCAACCTGTCAGACAAGTTGATGGGTGCAGAACCCTTGAATGCAGGCCTTAAAGGCATGCAGTAAATTGACCTCCACCCTCGGCACTGCATCTTGAAACCTGTCAAGATATCTTCAGTAACTGAACCATATATCCAGCCAATCTGAAAAGACAAAACACAAAAAATTGAACATTTCCGATGTTATACTAGTCAGCCATGGAGTAAAACCAAAATGGCCACATTGTAACAAGGCCTCTAAAAAATACACACAGACGGCATTAAAATAAGATATTATATCAAAACTTAAAAAGTCCAACCTCTTTTCCCCAAGCAGTCTTCTCTTCATAACCACAACTAATGACTTGAATTGCTTCATTGATTAGTGTAGATGGGTTGGCAGATTCAGCCACTCCTCCATACTCCATCAGTGTAGACTCGATGAACACTGAAGACAAGCCAAATGTTTTCTCAAAGCTCATTTGTGACATGAGTAATGACCTCTCATGATCATCATAATCTGCAAAACGAAATCAAAACGTATCTTAATTATTGAGAACTTGACTATCTATTGGCCTTAATCTAGATGTCCTGATGGAGCAGACGTACTTTCAATCTCTCTGAGGTTAAAAATGGCAGCATTTAGATCGTCCCTCTTTGAATCTCGGTATTCCTCTGTCAGATCTTTCGAGGGCTTCTTGGGGCGACAGCAACAAGAAGATGAAGACTTGGGTAAAGTGGGCAATGATGCAGGTCCGTAGCCATAAAGTGCTTGCCTGTTGAAAACACAACCTGTCCCCACATACATTGGTCCTTGAAGACCATCCAGTCCTTTCATATTAATCTGAAATCATGAATTAAAGAATTCTCATAAGGTTCACTGCTAAGGATAATAGAGCAACCAGGGTTCAAAATATCGCTACTTACCATTCTTATCTCTATAATATAATAATTATTGTTCTGAAGTATGTTACTCTTTTACCTCACCTAACACTTATATGCTAATATTATCTAATATGAAAAATAACTCAAATGTATGCATTGTATCTAGAGCACGTTTTCTGCTGAAGTTCAAACCAATTATATGCAAATTGGTCAAAAGTCCAAAATTTGCCAATTATTGCAAATAAATGAAGTTAAAAATTCCAAGTTTTTCCAAATCCAGATTTGGCAGCAATATGCTCTAAACACTATTCTTTTAAGTACATTATAATGGAATAATTTATTTCTTTCCCCAAAATCTCCATAAATTTTGCAGAATCCTTTTCCCCAACCTTGCCACACTTCTTCTGAAGGGGAAATTTTTTCTTACTTGACTCCATTTGGTTTAGAAAATGAATATGAAATTTTAATTGGTTTCAGATAGCTGCCATATCTTAAATTCTACAATGCTGTTTAAATTGCAGAGTAGTAAGCTTACATCAAAGAAGACTATGTTGCGGTTGGCATATCTATCACTGCGATCAATGCCATCAAATCTCTGTGGAAATTGCACATAGCATACATCACGACCAACTTGGGGATCCATCAAGAAACACATTGCCTCTCGAACTGCCTTGCTATTGTTTACATAGTGATCACAATCAAGATTGAGGATGAAGGGAGCATTTGTGAGAACTGCGGACACCCTTACCTGCAAGTAATCAAACATTGAGGTATAAATAAAATTAGATCCTTGAAAGAGAAGAGTAATGTATTATCAGGTAATGAATATAGACATACCAGAGCATTTTCAGCACCAGCTTTTTTGTGATGTTGGTAGCCAGGTCTCTTTTCTCTTGAGACATAAACCAATCTGGGAAGTTCATTTCCCTCTATGTCATGGGCACCACTATGTCCAAGAAAAACCTGAAAATATATATATATATATATATATATAGTGAATAGAAAAAAGCTTATGTCAAAATTTCAGTTTAAAAAATGTGACCTTGTGAAGCACTCTGTAATAAAGAGTTTTGTGAATAATCGGATATTTGCACCTGGAATGACTGTTGACACTCCAAAACCAATCAAATTAAGGGGAAAAAAGAACACATGGTATCTCCTTAACGACGCAAAATGTGAACTTGATTTCTTTAAACAATAAACACTGAAAGTACATAATAAATTCTATAGCTACTAAATTTTGGAGACATAAACCAATGAGGGATGTTAATTTTCACTATGTCTTGGGCATCACTATGTTCAAGAAAATCCTGAAAAATCTGAAAGAAATGCTTGTGTCAAATATTCAGTTTATCAACAATGTGATTCTGGGAAGTTTCTGTGAGAAAGAGTTTCTCGAAGAATCAGATATGAAACTGGACTGATACTTGCTATTCTAAAGGAAATCGAATGAAAAGGGAATACATTTGCAGATACTCAGGAAACTCTGAAGATACTCAGGAAATAGGTTTCCCCATAGCCTCTTCAGATGTTCAAGAAGTCAATTACTAATGGTGGTAAGCTTCAAACTAGAACATCAAACCTTTTACATCTAGAAAATGCTAGCAGCGGTTCAGAGAGAGATGATATCTAACATGACAAATTTAAAATTTTAAGTTTAGAAATAGATAACTTAAACCATAATGATTGATATATAGGTACAAACTCCATTAGAATTTGGTGAAACATTGACATTCTTGGGAAGCACCATTTGATGAGATGAATTTTGTTAAACAAAAAAATGGCACGAATTATACTTTTCAGACATATTTAATGTACCAGGTGCATTCAGTTCACTTGAGAGAATTCAATTGCATCATTGAAGATATAGAAAACACTACATTATGTCAATGCCAAACGATGCATATAGAATGACTGGCAGACTAACAAATTGAATCAACCTGAATCATTCCAGGGTGGTCACGTGTGTTATTTCCTGGCCAAGATGTTCCATCTTGCATTGTCCAGCCCTCATCTGGTGTTTTCTGAGCCTTTGCTACCAAAGCATTTACCCGCACTTTGTACTCTTCGTAGTCTCTCTGTGATCAGATAGGAAGCAAAAAGGAGAAGATTAGCTTTGGATAACATTGATACAATATAATATTTTTCCTATAAATTTAGCATGTTAAAGCATTCAACTAAAGAAACTAGGCATTCAAGAACTGCAAGTAGATGACAGATTTAGATGCCTACTTTCATTGCTCTACGTTCCTTCACAAAAGAAGGTTGCACTTTATCTTTCAAGTAGTCAATCTTCTGTGAGAAATAAAACTCCGGTGCACGTGGTTCAATTGAAAACTTTTTGCAGAATGGAACCCACTTCCTTGCAAAATCAGCCGTTTCAACCAGAGACTCAAATGTAAGCATAGCAGCACCATCATCAGACACATAGCAGGAGACTTTCTCCACAGGGTAGTCCACAGCAAGGATCGAGAGCACAGTATTGGCAGTAATAAGTGGTGGTTCTTTCAAAGGATCCACTGTACTCACGAAGAAATCCACTGGAGCAAGTTCATTGGGCTCACCCTCTCTTTCAAACCTGCCATGGCATGTAAATTTTTTTTCTTTAGTTTAAAATTTGTCGTCAAATTACAGCTCATTTCTACCTGTGCTAAACTGAATCTAAAAACCACTATTTTTTCATACTTCCTGTACTATTTCTCACATGATTCTATATAGTCGTTAAGCTCAGCCTATACCAAATTAACTGCACAGGATATTATATGGTCAGATATAAGTAAAAGTAATGGGAAGTTAGATGTGAAAATACTGTACGTGAATGCTTAGTATTAAATATAAAAATCAAAATCTTTATGATTTTGACTGGTCTATGAAACAAGGGTTGATACTAATAAAAATGTTTATATATTCAAGAAAAGGATGAATTTCAGGACAAAAATGGAGAACTTAGATATAAGAGAGGATACAAAACGATGCTTGACAGTAAAGCATCTACAAAAATACAAGTTCGTTTTATAATTAACACTCGTAACTAGAGCTTCTATTATCAATATATATCTATAATTTTGCAGTTAGATGAGCTACCTTTCAGATAACACGTCAATAAATGTATCCCTATTAATGGGAGACCATTTAGGAAATTGATCCAACACCCAAGAAACAGCAAACCAGAGCTCGCAAATGACAGAAGTGAGCCACAGAGCAAAAGCACTGTCAACAGGATTCGTCACTCTATAATGGAAGAAAAGGCCAAGAATGATCAATCGCATAATAATCACAATTCTGTATGGTGTGAGTTGGTTCTTTGGAATTGGAACAATTCTTGAAAGTGGCTGCGAAGCATCTGCTGTCCTGCACAAGCAATCATCGAATCTCAACGATAAACGAACATTCTTAAAACCAAAGATTGTTTAATTAGAACTTCAATGGAATATGACCTAAACATTAAAGATTCAGCTATAATGATTTAGCAGAATGAATGGACGATTAATACAAAAATATGACGTGCACCACATCACAACTTACAGGAAAACTAGTATATATGATAAGAAATTGCTAAAATGAGAAAAGCTAACACACTTCATGCTTGTTGAAATTTAATGTAACGGCAAAATAATGTGATTTTTTTCCCCTTAGTCTTCATCTAGAATCAATGGACTAGAAACCATTTTAACATGAAACAGTAAATAATCAAAAGTCATGATCTTATTTATGCTTTAGTACAAAAACTGTCACACCATAACCTAGCAGCAAAATGATAACGACATGAGCGATCAATAGCAATTATCCATTTCACAACCCCTAACAATTGACGGCAACTTCAAGTGATGCATGAAAGCCATTGATATTTTGGAAATTAGTTTTAACCATGACCCTTAATCTTTTTAATTCTATCATAAACCACCATACATTTTATGGAGAACAATTTCAATATCTGCCGTGACTTAACCCTTCTAGTTTTCTTAGTAATTATATTTCTTACATTTCTTTTTCATGCTCCACCAGGAAATCAAACTTATTTTCTATATACTTACTGCTGCTTTTCTTGCATCTGCTGCTCAGGTGGAATTTCAGCTTCTTTAACAACTTTCTTCGGAGCCTTTTTCTTCTTGTTCTTTTTATCCTTCCAACTTTCCACCCTATTTTTCCATATTGGGTTCCCAGATTCGCCAATCATGTCTTCAGAAGAAGGGGGAAAAATCAGATGATTCAATGTCTCAGTAAACTGCTATATATAGAATTAAACAAAAGGATCGAGCTAATTGTATGATACAAATGCCAATTTACTCACCACTGTCTACTGTAGATATACTATAATTTCTAGCATGCAGTCCAACATCCTGTACCAACCAAGAAGGATCATGAAGTATGTTAGCATTTAACTTGTTGAAGTTCTTTTTCGGGGAGTATGTTAGCATTTAACATATTAAAGTTCTATACACAAGCACATTGAATTTACAACCAATAGTTCATAAAAAGAAAAAATTTAGAAAGAATAGGAAAAATCTAAGTTTTTGTTACATTTCCTCAACAATCAACCAAAAAAAAAAATCATTATTCTTTTTATTTCCACCCACTCTTAAATTGGTTGTTGACAATCATACCTGAGAATTATCGAGGTAGGCACCCATTGTGGAACGATTGCCAGATGCCTCTGTTTCTGCATCAGCCATTGTAGAAATTTCTGTGCCATAGAGATGAGAGATTAAAACGTGTTAAGTCCCGGTTTTAACAATAGGAAAAAGAAAATAATAATTACCATAAATACAAATACAAATTCATTTTTCAAATTTCTTTGAGGTCATGGTGTCAAACCCAAACAACAGAACAAAATTAATAAGATCAAACAATGACATTATCAAAATACATAATTTTGGCCATAGAGACTTCAAAATTTTTACTAAATAATGTCTGACAATTTTCTGCTGGCACAATATGTTTTGAAGATTTGTGGTTTCCACACAAAGTTAGCAATTAGCAAGTTAAAGTAAACACAACTTAACAAACCCTTTGTTTTCAACTCTTGGAATCAGCAATTTGCAAGCAATAGGATACAAGAAATTAATCAATTCACAGAACAAAATTCACAACTGTCACTCTTTCTTGCCACAGTAACAATTTGTCAAAACAAGTCATGAAATGTTTTTGGTAGATTGAAAATAGAACCTAGAAATACTAATTAAAAAAAAAAAAAAAAAACAACAACAACAACAGCAACAACTAAGGCATCAGATCAAGATAATAATACCTTCATAGGGAGCGCCACAACGAATGCATGCAGTACGCCCTTCTTTGATGTCATGATCAAAACACGACTTGCAAATTGGGAAACTGCATTCATGACAAGCCACAAACACCTCTCCATTTGGATTCAAAGCCACTTGTTCTCCACATGTGTTGCAAATAGGTACTCCAGACTCCATCATCTTGATCTCACTTCCCTTCTTTCAAAATCCCCAATACTCAAACCCTAGCTGGGGATTTTGATCATTCACTCTCTTTAAATCTTGGTTTGTTGTTTATCTTTTTTTATAATGGGAAAAAACAAAAAAAATAATCCAAACCCAGCTAGAGTATGTTGCTTAGAATGGAATTGTAATGGTGGTAGTGGTAAGATTTTTGTAATGGTGAAGAGGGGTGGATGGTAGAGGCTTTTGGTGGTAGGGCATGGAGGTTAGGGTGTTGATGTCACATTGTATTTGCAGAAAGAGAGAGATGAGAAGCAACGTCTTTTTCTTTCTTTAAAGATTTGAAAAATTGCGGGAGTTTTAAGGAATGTTATTGTTGGGCTTGCCACATCTCTAACCAACCAACCTTGAGCCTGACGGCTTGAACTAATTGCTGAACCTCAGATCCTCAAATTGTACCATGTAATTTCTTTGCAACCCAAAGGGATAACCTAATGGCAGGATTCACTTCACCCTCTCAATGTTGGGAGTTCGTTTCAGTAATTGCCCGATGCATATAAGACAGAAGAACTACACTTGCTATGAGATTATGGAGTACTCTAAGAAACCACCATCATGGAATCATCGGGTGAGAGAGAGGAAAAAAAAGAAAAAGAAAAGCACATTATATGTAATTGCTGTGTTTCTGATTTGAAGGGTTTCCAAATTTTATTTTTATTTATTTTAAGTAAAACATATCTTTAATAATCATATGATTAGCATTCTAATAATAGATATGCATAAGCATTATGATAAAAACAGGTTTCAGCACCAAAATTATATATTGTTTTATTTTGTGTACCTGATTATTAGAAGGTTGTAGATCCACAATCTTTTCAGACTTTTTGTCCAAAAATAAAGAGTTACTGTCTTTCTAACCCAATGCAAGTGCAGTTATGATGCAACCACATAATCCCCACCAACAGGGACATTGCATCTACTGACTGAAGAATTGGAACTAAATTCACAGCTGTCTCTGTAATGGTGAATTTAAGCCCAAATTAAACAGTAGGTCTGACTGTATTGTTTAGGTCCATTTATGCAGCTCAACTAAAAACAGGATCTCACTATTCAACATTTATCTATTACTGATCAAAATAAATAACAAATAATAATAATAAATCATATATCTATTACAAACTCCACCCCTTCCTCATCCATGTTCTCATTTTCACCCTAAAGATGCTGAAAACTTTGGCCAATTTCTTGTCCCCAATTTAATAGTATGGCAATAAACATAACAGGTACCTAATCTGAATAGACAATTTGCTCCGATACAAAATGCCCTTTTCTTCCAACTCTGATAGACAAAACTGGCCATTAGTCAGTCCGTTGTCATACTCCCCAAATACAAAAGGTTGTGGTCCTTGTGGAACAACATCCCCCTGTAGAGCGGAAAGAGAATCAGTAGTCTTTGCTAGTATGCCACGGATAGATTTGTGTCCGTGAAAAGCCAACCCATGGAGAGAACAATTTTGCACTTGATCTATGTAACAGTATAAACCTTCACTACTTTGGATGTATCACATACAACAAGGTTTTCAGAATCAGTTGGCGTGGTACAAACCCAGTTGACCTGAACAGGTAAGCGGGCGATGATGAGAAATGATAAAATAATGGAAGATTAAAAAAAGAAACTGAGGAGCAAGATACTCCAAGGACAATGCAGGGGAAACTCACCTTTTTGCTCAAGTTAATATTTAAGTGTAAAAGATCACCATCGCTGCTAGTTTGACCAGCATTATATCTGGACCAATCCCATACCTTCACTAATTTATCATTTCCGCCTGAAATGATAAACCTCCCTTTCTCCCCAAACATTGAAAATGCCCTGATTGAATTATACTAACATCAATGAGCGAATTGAATTTCATCAGACCACCTAATTGAATTACTTACACGCAGGATACAGCAGCGGTATGCCCTCCCAAAGTGTAATCCAGATGCAACTTCTTTCTTCCATTTTGATCTAGGGTTTCAGTACTTGCGAATGGAACACTGCCTTTTGATCTTGCTTGATTACCTTTTTGGGGCTTTGAGGAACTTTTTGACTTAGCAGCAAGTTCTGAATCAATATTGATCACATCAACGATACCATCGCCCCTAGCTACAACACATACCTTGCCTGATTTATCTAACATATCAACTTCTGGAACTGCTAGAGCATGGACAAAAGCAGGATTGCAACATTGTCCAGCATTACCTCTACTGTCCTCACCAGGCATACCTGCAGCAAAGAAAATGTGGTGAGATTGCTCTAAAATTTTGTCCAAGCATAAACCACAATAATATCCCATTTTCTTCTATTATTCTTTTAAAATATAACAAACGAAAGAAAATTGATGGTGTGAACGAGGGTGTATGATTCTATCACTCATAACTGACACTGGTGTTATAGAAGTAAATACATATTATTTATTACCAAATGTAGTCTACAGAATGGAAGCTATGGGCTACACATTCTTTTATTTTTCCCCTTTGATTGAGAGAGAGGTTGAGTGTAGACCCTATTTTTGACTCTCCCTACATTCACCCGCTGCAAGTGATTTTTGGGTGATTGCTCTAAATTTTTTGAGCCTCACTCTGTATCATCTGTCTATATCAACGACATGTATCTTTTTCTTCTTCTTGGGTTATCATCTCAATGATGAAACTAGTTGGATTAAGCTATTCATGCTTCTATCACTTGATTCCCACAAGTCTCAGGACCAAGAAGACAATTACACCCATCGGCTTACAGATTTTCATAGGTTTCTATTGGATCTTAGCTCGAGTTGAGCTTGAGCACCTCGAAATCCAGTTAGGCTCGACCCCACTTGCTTTCAACCCACCTTGCATAACCAAAAAGAAAGAAAAAAGAGAAAAAAACTGACAGAAACCGAGATTGAATTTTTCATTGATTTTAATATAACCATTACATGCTCCTTATGGACAAAATCCTAACCACCTAATTTCCACGCAAAACATATTTCATTGATTGAGCAAATTTTGGTTTTATCGACTCAAATAGCAGCCAAGACTTTGGACAAGTAAATTGACAAAGTGTCCTAATTGTTGTGAGCTGGAGATAAAGATCATATGACCAGGCTACTATCTCAGACCTAATTTTTTTGAACCCATCAACTGGGTGGCAATGAATCTCATTTTTAGTTAATTCACAGAAAGAATTCAAGTCATACATACCAAAGTCCGCAATTTTGTATGGCCGTCCTTTGGAGAAGTCCCACATCACAAGCTTTGAATCAAGACCACCAGTAATGACTGCAAAGCACCCCATACATAGACTGCTAGTCAAATAAATATTCGATGCATGTTGAAAAGGGATCTCTGGAACAATCACGACATATACTTTGCAAATTGCAAGTGAAACATCTAAAAGGCTCATATTCTTGAATATTGCAATATTATAAATTGCAGATATTATTACTGTCATGATTCATGAGAAAGGGAAAAAGCCTTTACAATGACACAAGGTACTTCCCCAGAGCAGCCAAGTGGGCAACATTAATGCTACTATTATGTATTATCATTATGCCATTATTTTACAAATAAACTGTCTTAATTCCAACTATTATCCATGTCCTTAATTCACTATTTCTAACACCTCATATCCTGGCTTTCCAAAGTGATGCAAAAACATGGAAGCTATGCACTCAACGTTCATTGCTGACCCAATTTTAAGTGTCTGAATCACTGATGATGGAGATCAACTCCTTGAAGTGTATGATTGAGAAAGGAAGTAAAGGAGAAAAGCCAATGTGGACCCTACCATGGATAACACATGTTAAGAAAGTACACTTTTGGTGTTCAGTGCCCATTTTAGTTATGGACCTCTACATTAGGAGAAATCAGGTTTTTCTTTAGTTAAAGATGTTTAAATTTCAGCAGATTAGGGATAATTTAGAAATTTATCATTGATTGGGCCAGTTTAGTACTGTATTTTTTCCCCCGATTATGTCAAGTCCTTTACTTTTCTGAATTAGCCAGTGTCTTAGTTTAGGAAATCATTTCTCTAAAAGCGAAGTTTCTGTACTTCTATACACCGCACCACCCCCCCAACCACCCCCAGCGCCCCTCCTCTCCCTCCCTCCCTCCCAAACACAACAGGGGCACCGGGAGAAAGAAAATCAGCATCTTTGACATTGAACACATAACAACACAAAATTATTCTTTCTTTTGATCCACTAAACATCTCCAACAAAAAATAGAACACTTCCATTTTCATTCCAAAAAAATCACCATTGAAGCTTATCAAGGCAATCAGCTTCAAAGGCTGCCATTCTGGAGTGAGTGACACCAGGAAATTATTAGTGGAAGCTCTTAGATTAAACATGTGCCAACTGGAAATATGGCAGAATTACAGTTTTTTAAACTATTATATATCTAATAATTTTTTTTTTGATAAGTAAGACAATTGTATAGAGGTGCTCAAAAGGGGAGCGAAGCCCAAAAGAACTACACAAGGCCAAAAAGGGCCTCTAAACTTTCAAAGAGTCCAAAAAATCTATATCCAATATATATACGTACACACGTATATGAGATCATGGACCTGATCCTCCCACTCAATTCCCTCATCAAATCATCCTCTGGGTAGCATTGTTAAGAGCTTCAAGCACAATAGGAACTAAAAATGGAAAGTGGGCGGCAATCTAAGGCCGCTAGAAATTCAACAAAATTACTCTCCATCCACAACCTTCCTCTTATTCCCATCCATAACCCTTTTCACATACTCAACCATGATATATCACACCCCAATTCAACAGGATAGATACCCCACATCATCGTGATGTTTAGAGTCACCACTAATGGAATACTATTTTTTGCAAGTACAAGAAGTAAAATAATCTGTCACCACTGATGTGTGCAGATAAAAGCAGCAAACAAATATCTGCATACGTGCGTGCGAAAGAGACAGAGAGAGACTTAAGAATTTTAACGGTAGTTATTAAAAATAAAGAAGTACCTTCCCAAGGTCTCCAAGGAAGAAATTGTATGCTGCTACAAATCTAAAAGCTCCAATTAAGGTGAATAACATGACAAATTGTCTTTGAATAGAGCTATTCAAATTAACAGATCAAACTTTGAAGAGTGACTATGAAATGGAAAATAACATCGATGCAGTAGATTGCTACCAGGACTTTACAAGAGTTGAACTGGCTTGATATACAAAGAAAAGAGATCACAAACATTACTACCAAATCATTGGAGAAACAAACAGAAAACTAATAATTAATCAGAATAGAAGATAAACTGCTTTCCTGTGAAAACCAAACGCAACTTTTTGATGAAAGCAACTGAAGGTCAACAAAAGTGAGAGGCCAAATTGATGAAAAAGGATACATTTGTGTGGCCAGCTCTTAGAGTTTTATAAAGGCATTGCTCGCGAATGTCAATTATCTGCCACAGAGACAGTAGTCAGTAGCTGAACAAGGATTTCATGATATTGCTAAACATTAGCTCTGTTTCCAATAGTTTTACAAGTATCTTAAAATAGATGATAATACATGAGAGAGAGAGAGAGAGAGAGAGAGAGAGAGAGAGAGAGAAGAATACTATTAGAAGCAGAACACAGAAATTCTTCTAATAAGTGGTAACAGGGCCAAGCAAGTGTGATACGCATGCATCAAATTTATAGGGAGTGGATAATGTTTCATTTATTACATGGGAGGGGAGGAACATGTGTGTCCCAGTCATTCTGTAATTTCATCTTTTAGGTTGAAAATTGAAATTGGGGTTCAAGAAATGCGAATAAATTTCTCTAAATCTCCATCTTCTGTTATTTTCTTCCTAGTGCTCTTCTTTATCTCTTCCATTGAACTCAGAATTTCTCAATGCTTATCGTATCTTTTTTGGTGACAAAGACCAAGTTGTTTTCCTTCCCCTTACCCCCTCTAATCCAGCTTGTACTTAAAGTGACAAGTCTTCAAAGGTCAATTATCCTCAAGAACAGAGAAAGAAAAGCATTCTGGAGGTTGATGGTTTTTACTATTCAGGGACAAATTTAAGTAAGCATGGTAAGGTCTAAAATTTCCTTTTCTATTTCAGTATTCCTATATCTTCACCTTTTATTTCATGATAATCTACGCGTAAAACCATATATTTGTAATTTTATGCAAGGGAAATTCCAAGTAGAACATTCTATATATGTCCATGTGCATTATGTTTGTGTGGAGTTAGAGAAAGAAGGAGAGAGAGTGTGTGTTTTTCTTTTTTTTTGGGGGGGGGGGGGGGGGGGGGGGGGGGGGTGGGGGTGGGGTGTTGGGGGGGTGCCTTCAATTGTAAATCATTATGAGTATAACATATTGCAATGAATTTAATTCAGATAAGAATTAAGAGAAACCACTTAAACATTCATACCTTAACATCACCACCATCATCTGCGGCAGCAAGAAACGACGATTTAGAGTTGCACGCGATCTGCATGTGCAGAAATGAGCTTATCTATGTGAAGGCTTAGCATGATGACACTTTTAAACAAATAAATTATGCTAGAGGAACACTAATGTTTCGTTCAACATGAGATGTGACGGAATCACACTTAACTTCAAATTTTAAGAGATAACTTATAAGTTACAGAAATTTTTATATTAGAGAAAAAATAAAAGCCATTCAAAATTCTAGGAATAGGAGAGAATAACTCAACAAATTTCAACACTTGGGAATTCTATTGAAATTTAAAGTAGATGGATGAGAAATGACAGTCTTAGTAACAGAATTCCTATAAACAAAATGAACCTTCAATAAATCATGTGTAAAAAAAAAAATTAAAACGCTCAAAAGATCTTGAGAACAGCTTAGTTCCAGATCTAGATATATCAATAATTATGTACATACACATTCTAATTTACCAAGTATCTTAAGATAGAATCCTAAACATTCTCAACATGTAACTGTGTTGCGCTAGTATGATATAAGTGCAATTCAAAGAATCACCAAGGAACAAACATAGAATTTTGGAACATAAGTAATATGTCTATTTTTTTATTTTTTATTTTTTTTAAAAAAAAAAAAAAAAAGAGCCTATGGTTACTTGATCAGTACAAGAAGCACACTTTTACAAAATATGTAAGATATGTAGTTAAATATGTATTACAAACAACAGTCAATACAAAAAGCTAGTGCTTTCTGTTCGGCTCGTTAAAATCGTGGTCCTTTCCACATGTGGAAAGGAGAGGTGTGGGCTGTGGGCGTGCCAGGAACTGCTGTCGTTCCAAACTGGAGGTCCAAACAATATTCCAGTTGGAGATTGTAGGGATCAGGCGATTGTATGAAGGACTAGAATGACCACCTTCAAAGGTTCTTTTTGCCTTGAAAAAGGACTTCTAAATTGTTCTATAGCTAGTGGAAAGAAAGATGGTATTGAAAGTGCAAGGCTGGAAATTAAAGTATTTAAAGGGCAACTGCTGAAATGTAAGAAAGGAAGTGCAAGACTTGACTCAAACATTATGAGAATTCATTGCTGAAATGAATGCTATATGGAATAACAAACATTATGAAAGGAAGTACTAGACTTGACTCAAACATTATGAGAATTCATTGCTGAAATGAATGCTATATGGAATAACAAAGTACTGCACTCAACTTAAATATAATGTAAATTCATTGCTGGAATGAAAATACATGAAATAGCAAAGATGCTAGATTTAGACATAATGTAAATTCATTGTTGAAATGAGAGATACATGAATAGCAAAGATGTTGTATTGATGTGTGGTGTGAGCTTAGCAGGCCTTGTATGTTACGCCTTGGTGCTCTATTTATAGAATTTTCTTACATGTAACAACTGATATGTGGCAACTTCAGCAATTTCCACTTGGCTTGGTTTGAAGCTGCCAAGTGTCCCATGTCTTCGGCGGTTACTTCCAGTTTTGCAACCATCTTCTTCTATCTTCTTCTTCCTCTGTGTTTCTTCTGAACATAATTTCAGCCATGTCCTCCACGATTTCAAGTTGTGTATAATTCTGAAGTAAGCTTTCCACTTGTCCTCTTTACAAACCTACAAGTGTCCCACGTTCTCTTGTTCTTCTTCCTTCTGCTGTAGATTCCTTCCTCTATTTCAGACACGATTTTAATAACTTAGCCTTGTCATCCATAATCTTCAACAACTTCCTTCAATTAGTGGTAGTAACTGCATGAAGCACCACTACTTTCAACTGACGTGTTTGTGTTTGGCCAAGTATCCCACGCTTCTAGTAGTCTTTTCCTTCTGCAGAATCCATCTTTTTTGTATAATTCCATATATATCATGCATATATATCTATATTTGTTATTTGCAGACCCACGTTCCCCTTAACCTTGGTAACTTCCTTCTGTTGAACTTTCCTGTTTATTCTTTGCTTCCATGGCGTCGTGGCCCCTAGATTTCAGCGATTTCTTCTTCATGGGTTGTATCTGATATACAAATGTGTATATATAATATATATATATATATATATATATAATATTCATAAATACATATTACACCCCCATGTCCCTTTTCTTCTGCAACTCATGTTTCCTTGAATTTTTGGTAACTTCCCTCCTTCAACCTTTCCTTCCTGGATTTGGAATTCATGGCACCATGTACTCCTTCATTTTAACAGCTTCTTCATCATGGGACGTATTTCAGTATATATATATATATATATATCCATAATTACAAATTATCCCCACTACCCTTTTCTTTAGCAACGTTGTTGACTTAGCTGAAATAGCTGTAGAAGTCTCCTAAAAATAAGGAGAATATCTAGCCCCACGTTTTCCTCTTCTTGCTTGGTCAACTTTGTTCTTGCCATCTTGAGTAAGTCTTCATTCCTTTAAAGGTTTTGAAGACACACGGTTTATCCAAACATTCATACATTAACCCTTAAAAGAAATAACATCTCATGGTAAGCTCCATAGAACTCGCCACATGTCACTTTGCTTATCAACATATGTCGGAATCTGATAGGTTGGATGAGTCTTGTATAACATAATTGCATAAGGTTGTATCTACAGTAGTATTTCCATGCAATCCTTCCATCCCATTAAGAGGTCGTGGGCCATTCTCAAAGTTGGCAAGTCCTAATAGGACTCACCACTTTCCTTAACATAAAAGATTCCACATGGTAGGATTTAATTGGCCCACTTATCCTTGCATCCAATTACTACGTGAACTCACATAGTTTTAATATTCTAATGAAAGTTTACCAGAGTTGCGATCCAGTGTGGCAAGTTCCATTGGAACTCACCACATGTCAACTTTCTATTGGTAGATATTATATAGCCAATCCTCAACAATTCCTTGGTATACCTTCTTCTTTGGAATATCAAAGCACGATCTGGTGTGGTAAGTTCGTTGGAACTCGTCACATGTCACCTTTTCATTGGGCTAAAACTAATGGGACAAACACTTTCATTTTGAATTCACATATAATCCTATATGTAGTGCACATTTGGTCATTAAACACAGTATTCAGACAATAATTAGTTCTATCGCTCTATCACAATACAGAAATGGAAAAGATAAATATAAATTGCGGGCCATAAGTAATGGATAAATCGAGTTGCAATGTACCAACTTCTACTCAATAAAAGGAAATACAGCTGCACATAGCATTTTTTCAAATGCATAACAAAATCCCAGAATAAACTAAGTTAAAACAATTAAAAAAAAATAACTTCATAATTGAAGTCCACGTAGAAGTGCACCTGATTTATTTCCTCTTTATTGTAGTTGTAACTCTCTAACTGCTTCCACGAGGCAGCCTTCAAATATTAAAATTGAGAGCTTATTAGCAACCAAAACCATAAATGTCAATACTGCATAGGAGTAAGTACATCAATTTAGAGAAAGAAATAAACATCAAAATATTTAGTTTGTACCATATCAGTTTTAAAACCGGAGGAACAAAAGTTGATTCTGTAGTTCATACCATAAGACAGTAGAAACAGTGAAAAGGAAGAAGAAAGAAGAAAGACAGTGGGTGAGTTTGTTGGGTTTTCGTTTATGTTTCTTCTTCTTCTCCTCTTTTTTTTTTTTTTTTTGAGAAGGGGAGGGGTAAAGAGTATTAAACCGGAATAAATAGGGGTATTCACGCTCAAACCAGAATAAATAAAGCCTGAAAATGGAAATACTAATGAGAATTAAATTTTGCATACTGAAAATCACAAGAATCAAGAATTAGAAGGGAAAAAGAACAAAAAAAAAAAAAAAAAAAATGTAGGAAAGGAAAAAGGACACTGGGAAATTATTGTTCAATGTCTCTTGAATGGGGGAAAGATATTTTAACTTCAATAAGCAATCAATCCCTAATTAAATAAACCCAATTAAATCAAACAACTCAAATAAAACTATGAAGTGGAAGATTACAAATTTATAGATTTATGTGGCTGATTTAAGAATTAAGAGTAAAAACAGATCAAAACAAATATGGAACTAAATGAGCCACTTAATCTAAGAATGGAACAAAGTAGTAAATAATCTCGAATGGAATAAGAGGCTGCCTGAATTAGTGGTGAATGTTGTTTCAAAGACTGCAGTAATTTGGTTCAGTTTCCACCCTTCTCTCAGTGTCTTGCTCAGTTAAGATTAGCATTTCTCATGGTAAAGGCATAAAGCGTATAACACATATTGGTGTTTCGACACAGTCAAACTAAAGGTATGAGAAGTGGAAGACCACTGCCAGAAGATGCATGGTACGTCTCGTGACAAGTGTTGCAGTTTTAAACAATAGGGAATTCAAGAAAACAACTAGAAATAGACATAACCAAGTGTCTTAAAAAATAAAAAATATATAAAAAAAGAAGATTACCAGATGCACATCAAAACCTTTAACTTCATTTCCAGAGGAAACATAAATGACATCTTCATTCTCTGCAACAAAAAACAAATAATTTAAGGAAAGTGATTCCGTCTTACCCAATTTCTAAAGTTTCAAGTTATAAACTAAATTATACAGATGATCCATATCAATTTCAAAAGGAGAAAAATATGATATCATTTTATGCTTAAAATTTGAAGCCTTACTTATCTCTCATTTCCATGCTTAGAAAAACATTCAAAAAAAAAAAAAAAAAGAGAGAGTAGCCAATTCTAACCTAATTTCACTAAAGAGTTGCACAAATGAAATATAGTCTCAACTCAACAATATATTATTAAATCCCAACTAATTCGTCACTTGATCTCATGTCTAAATTTCCGTTTTGCATCATGTTATGTGGATATAAAACGCATTATCAAAAATTTCAAATTCTACACATTCCCTTTGCCTTAATATTACGGAATAAACAGAGCTTATAAACGTTCTTCAGCCATGACAAAGTTTGTTTCAAAATATAAAAGACTTCAAACAGAGACTATCAGAAAGTGTTTCGAGTCTTATGACTGAAAAAAAAAAAAAAAAAGTGACTTTCTTCCACTTGGAGAATAATAAAGTTTGTTGTCCACAAGGAAATAATCTTCATGTGATAGAATGCAATTTTCAGGACCAATTCTGAGACTTACGGGCCATGGAACATGGATACGGACCAGAAATGAGACAAATAAGGCAATATGACAAGTTCTTAAGAAATAGGATATGGATACGACAAGGACACGATGACATATATATTATATTAATAATTTAATGGATATGCATAAATATTACTTTTCTTTATAAGTTAGATATGCATAAAAATTAATTTATATGTATCAATGGATAAGTTTGAATAACATTGTTTGCTCATGGCTCTCCAAGCCTTGTTCAAGATAAGTCTACAACAAATAATATCTAAAAGTATTACTACAGTTTAACAATATTCATAATTTATTCTAAGGGGGCATGCCTCCTTTTTCTTCCTGTACTTTATTTTGATATAATTTTAAATCATCCTAGTAAGAAAAAAAAAAAAAAAAAAGCTGTTATCTTCGTGTATAGTATATATTTTCAGTTAGTCTATGAGATTATCCAATCTTAGAATCCTGACATCTTTGAAATCTTTATCTTCCAAGTTCTAAAAGTATGATGTTATTAGAGGTTGAGTATTTGGAATCTTTATTTCTTTTAGAATCTTTATTTTCCAACAATATTATGTTATTAGAGGGTTTAAATTCTCATGGGAGGAGGCAAACCTAGTAATACTTTCTCGTCTCCATGGGACAAAGTGGGTGCTGTAATTTTCATGGAATATATTTACTTAGAAAAGAAATAAACAAGTCGATCAAATTTTGTCACCGAAAAATATTTGCATTTTACTCATTTTCTAATGCTATTGAATAAAGTATTTTATCAATTGTTATTATTGTAAGGCATTTAACAATTTAATCTAAATAATTGAAGTGTAGTGGATAATTGAACCGTCCTTTTTGCAAATTTCAAATGCATGCAATCCCTGTGGCCCTTATTTACACAAAATCGAACCGTTCAAATTAAAAATCTATCTATCTATAAAGCAGCTTCAACTTCAAGATGAGATTTTGTAGCTTCAAATCTACCAGGCCAGTTTCAACCCACTGGAATTATTTTGCAGTGTGATGTTACTCATATATATATATATTTATATGTATAGTGAGACAAAAAAAAAAATATTTGGCATATTGGTGCTATTCAAGTTGCATCGAGATTTGGAATAGCGACACAAAGGAAATGGAACAAGAACAAAAAACTGCTGAATTGGCCTATTTGTGTACCTTGAGAAATGAAAAGAAGGGAAGAATTGTGGACAGATATGTAAATGAAGTGATCAAGCACAAGTAGCTACCCTTCAAATGAAATCCACATCTTTATACGCTCTATACAAAATAGTGTGAGAGGTTTATGACCATTCCTAAGAAATTGAGACCAAGGGGCTATTTGCAATCCTACTAAGTGCTGAAGACAGAAACTTTTTGGTGGTTTTTCTATTGGGCGATTTCTAATCAAGAATTTAATAAGAACGAGAAGCTACCCTTCAAAAATTACACCACTTAAAAAACGTCTGACTTTCAGGACATGTAGACCTGACATTTCAGAAAATGCTGACAGCCTGACGTGCTCAATGAAAGGTGGCTCTCAACTTTTACCAAAACTTTGACAAATTCACCCAGCCCTCAAGTATTCAGTTACAAAATTCAATTGCTAAAGGTTTGCCATACTGCTAATCAAATACTAAAATAATTTCAAGGCTAAAATTTCAGTTTATCAAACAGCACCGTAGTTATCATAAAAACCAGAAAAAGCACCTCTATTTAGCTAGAATTCATATAAATAAGATATTGATGTACGTATGTGCGGAGGTATTTAGCACAATTAAGAGTCCCATATTCACAACACCAAAAATGATGCATACCAATAATTATCAATTGGTAAAAGGCAACTAACCTGGTTTAAAACATAATGATGAAATCGGATCGTTCCCCACATCCATGACATAAAGCACATCTTTGCACCGCATATCAAACCAGCAAATGCAACCATCCTACTAAAACGAAATTATTAATGTGTTAATGAAATCCTTTAAACAACAAATATCACGTTTTCATTTTCATTTTCATTTTTGTTTCCTTTGCATAGTTTCAGTGGAAATGAGTTGCAGCCCCCTTTTCTTTGCCGTTTATGTGGCCTATAGGCGAAAAATAATCAACTAGTTTAGTTCTGATTTGAGTTGGCAAGAAGGGAATGAAGTAAATGGAATAACCCACTTTTGATTATATCCAGAATTTTGAAACTTCAACTATACTAAAGACTAATTGCATAGAAACATATATGAGATATTATTTCAAACAAGAATATCTAATTCAATAGCAACCAAACGAGTTAATTGCTTTCTCTATATATAATATATGTCATAGACACACATGTATGCGTATATGCATATGTCTAATTTGAGAAAAAGAGAAAAGGGTACCTCGCCGGAAGTGACCACAAGGCCAGGCCGGTGCCGGGAGGCGATGCAGCAGGTGGCGGTGCCCTTGTGACCTCTCAATCGTCTTGGGTCTGTCATAGCGTTGTCTTTTGCCCTCTATTGTCTGCACAGTGTCCTGTTTGGCTGTTCGTTTTCATCAACCAATAGCTCACTCGCTGTTAGGCACAGAGGAACTTACTAATGGTCTGATTTAAATTGGGTTGGGCCCAATATGGAGTCAAGTTTTTCTTTATCTATTCCATGAAGCCAAAATCCAGTTAGAAGATTCGGAGCCACCCAAATTTTTTGTTCATTGGGTTGGGCCTAACACTATTTCAAAGCTCTAAAAAAAGAGTGAAGTTAAGGAATTAGGTTTTTTTTTTTTTTTTTTTTTGTAAATTTATTTATACCCGTACTTACTTTTTACACATGACTTTTTTTAACGCATGTACCAATAATAATAATAATAAGCTTTTAACTAAAATAATAATAATAATAATAATAAGCGCTTGGAATCTTATTTAAGGATTGAGTTTGCATTAATAACTGATTTCAAGTCAGTCTTGAGACATTGTCAATCAGTAAAAAGTTTATCCCAAGTGGTATCTCTTGTTTCATTTAAACTTGTCCGAATTGGGGAATAAAATAATGATAATAAGAATTAACTAGGATTTTCAAAGGCTAATTTTTATTTTTCGGTCAACAAAGACTATTTTGATATGTATATATTTCAAATAAATCTCCATTAGTTCCCCTTTGTGGGTTTATATTTTTGCAGTTTCAATTCATTGAAAGTCGTACTTGTAAAAAATTTTTGGAGCTAATCTTGTTCTCTATAGAACTCAAATTCATAAAATCACAGGTTACGATATCATATCTTTATTTTTCGAAAAAAAAAAAGTCGGAATTCAAATTTAAGTGGACACATAGTTTGAGTTCAGATTAAGAAAAAAAAAATCATAGAATAGAACTAGGAAGCTTCATGGAATAGACAACACATAGATATGAGACCAACCATGATTATCCATCCATAAAATCAATAATAATTTTTTTTTTTTTAAATGATAATATTGGAGGTGTAAGAAAATAACAGAACCACCCAAGCACTGCAGGCTGCAACAGTTCATTTATGATTAAATCAAGATCAAACTCCTCACATACACAAAGAGATGGGTTGGGAAGGCAAAGGGAAGGAAAGGAGAAGGGGAGTTAATACAACTCTACCAATAATATTCCAAAACAATTTAAATATAAGTTAGAAGCAAATGCTCTCCCTCCATCAACATTATTTGACAGTGCAAGCAACTGCATAAGCCCATGACTTAAGATGCTCTTTCATGGCCATCCCATCACTGAATGCTGCCATCATCAGCTTAACATCGTATTCATTCCCAAACTTTCCAAACCCACGCCCACTTTTCTGCATCATACAAAACCCAAAATCCCAATTCTTCAACTTCCTTGTATTTCTCTTCCTCCTCTCTTCCTTCTCTTCTTCTTCTTCTACTTCAACACCCAAATCACCACATTTTGGGCACTTTTGGGGCACAATCTCAGAATTTGGGGACTGGGTTTGGTGGCTTTGAAGAATTGGAGTGATGGGTTTGAATGTTTCTGATTTGGGAGGGTGTTTGAAATGGTTTTGAATGGCACTTCCATTACTATCACCAACAGAAGTCAAAATTGGAGTTGTTGAAGACAAAACATTAGAGAACAGCCAAAGAGAGTCTAGTGTTTCTATGAAGTTAAGGCCATCCATGAGAAACAAACCCAAACCCACCAAACTAGTAAAGAAAGCTCTGTATGAAGCTACAGTGAACAGTCCTGTTTGGACTGACACCGTTGAAAAAAGTAGTGTAAAGAGGAACAGAACTGTGAATGTCCCTCCTCTTTTAGTGTGGTGTTAAATGACCGGACTATCCTTTTGCTGGATTGGCACTACAGTATGATGAATCAAACAAGGGGTACCGTATTTTGGTCTGGATGAGAGAGAGAAACTAATAGCAACAACCAGTGGGCGCCTGGTGGGAAGTGTATCCCACTAATGTTTGAAAATATATTTTGACTTTTGAAACTGGTTGTTGTCCACTGCGATAAAAGCAACCAAATGAACCAACGGTCAAATGGAGAACTAATAAATTCTTGTAAAAATATCCCAAAGTTGGAGATACCAAATAATTTAGCTAAATTACCTTTTTTTTTCTCTCCTTTTAAGAATACCTTTTTAGCTAATATACATACCTGTATATTATTATATACTGTACTACTTTCTTTGAGTGAGCGTATATTATAAACTCTGGGGCATGAGTAAATATGCCAAGATCGAGACTGCCAAAAAAAAAAAAAAAAAAAAAAACAAAAAACATGCCAAGAGAGAGAAAATATAGATGGAATAACCAATCGATGCAATAACAAAGCCACTCACTCAATTAATATGAATTTTTTTGTTTTTTTGTGTTTTTTGTTTTCGCTTGATACTCTCACGGAAAAGAAAAAATAACACTGGTGAAATTGGTTTGGATTAAACATAAAAACAAAAATTTATTAAATTTTAATGGATTCATGAAATTTGAAATCAATCTGATTTGATGGGAGTCGATTCATTTTACATAAACATTAATTTTTAAACAAAAAAATTGTACATTCAAATTACAAGAACATCAATTCATTTAAATCTTAGTTAAATCATCTAAGCTAACTTTTGAGTCTTATGACAAGAAGAGATTGAACAAGAAATAAAGAGTATTACATATCAATATATATATATGTTATAGATAACGGATACGATTAATTTTTTTAGACCTAAATTCGTAATCTAATTTCTCTGAATAACTTATTTATCAATCCTTCCCCAAATCAATGGACTAAAAAACCAATTCAAAGTATATAAGTCGAATTAGATTGGATCAATTCGCCAATTCCCAGAGGAACACCTCCAATAGGAACACCTCCAACACCTCCAATAGGAACTCCAATACCAACTCCCCGTCTGATCCACTTGGGTGGGAGCCCCCTGGAGCCACTAAAATGGAAGAAAATTGTATTGTCCTTTTATTGTGTACTTAACTTTCTATTTACTTTCACTTCTCAATAATATTTAATACCCATTTATTGGAAGCAAAAAATAAATAAGTGTTGAATCACCTATCTCGTACTAGTCAAATTATGATAAAATTACATTTTAAATTAAATTTAACAGTTAAGATCAAAAGATTCAAAATAACAATAACTTATGCAGAAAACATCTCTATAATATGTTTATAGTGCATATTACACTTCTCATTTACTAAATGACTATTTTTGTCATTTCATAAAACAAGGTATTTTTAAATAATTTAATCATACTATAACTTAAATGTGTTAGAAGTGACCTATTTGTATCAAATTGAAACTTTAGTAGTATTTTTTGCACTTGAACCTAATGTTTTCTTAGCCTTTACGTACGGTGTTTCCTTTTAATACATTACTTGCCAAAAAAAAAAAAAAAAAGTCCTTAGTGTTGCCTCCCACAGAAGTTAAAAATGAATTCCAAAAAATGTGGTCCTTCAATTCATGTAAAAAGACTGTTCAATATCAAGCATGCAAACTAATTAAATGACCATCAAAACAAGTGGTTTTCCTTCACCCAAAGATTATCATCGTACGTAGACCCCCAGGACCTTTTTTTTGTAAGGTATATATTCATTTACGTGTAATAACCATGCATATCAAAAGTCTGTCCCGTTCATTAAAGTTTATGAATCCCATTGATCTAACATGTTTTTTACTTGAATGTCCGTGTTTGCTGTATATATATATATATGCATGTTCATGTGTATTGTTCTTTTACATTTGATATAATATATCATACAAAACTTGAACATGCTATAACTATGAATTATATATAGGACATCATGAACTTCTTCATAGGATTATGACATAACAAGGATTTAAAATGTTGATCCTCTTGATCGATCAATTCACAAATATTAGTTCCACGAGCTTAAATATTTTTTTTTTTGTTAAAAGGGTAAGCTTTTATAAATAAAAAAAATATGTACAAAGTGTTCCAACCAACTAAACAAACCAAAGGAACATGCTCCTTGGTAGAACATGCTCCTTGGTAGAAGGAACATGCTCCTTGATAATTAAAACCATTTTCATCTGTTGCATTATAAACACTCATTAATTAACCTAGTTTAAGGGTGTGAAAAAGAAAGATGAAACAAAAACCTAATAATGTAAAGGGGACCATATATGACTGCAACAGCTGCTTTGAAGAAAAAAGCTCCATAGATATTATTTATACCTAGCATATGCCGATTCATTTTCACCGAATATCCATGTAAATGTGCGAATCATTCAAGATTAAATGCAGCTTCCGATGATTGCCATTATCAAGCTCCAACACAAGCATGGTGATGAGCTAGAACCAAAGCATGCATGCACACTATCATGCAGTTTTAAAGTTAGAGAAGAATAACAGTGTAGTTCTCCCTTTGGCAGAAAAATATTATTACTACGTGCATGCGATCCCAATTCGCAAATGTTGTGGTTTAATTAATTCTGCCAAAGGAGAATTGCCCTGCCATTCAACACTAACAATTTCTCAAATCATCATCACCACTGATATAAGTATATATATATATATAGAGAGAGAGAGAGAGAGAGAGAAAGAGAGAGAATATATGTGTGTGTATGTGTTATGTTGTTTTCATTTGCTGCATGGCAGGTCATGAGAGGGCTGGGTTAAAGGGCATAGAGGATGGAAAAGCATCCTAGTTTGCTGAAGAAACTAGCTTCTTAATGATACATCCACCATCTACAACAATTGCAAGTGTTTTGCATCAAAACAGTAGCAACACCAAAGGAACCCTAAAAAATCGTTTCAGGGTGCAGACACTGTTTCAGAAAAACAAGCTCAAGTAACGGGTAAAACTCAATAACCCTACATTGATTTATTCAAAAAAGAACCCTAATTTGAGACTGGAATTATATCACACACACACACACACACATATATATATATATTTCTAAAAATTTTGTTTACTTTAATTAATTCAGCAGGCCGGTCTTAGAGAACCACTGTGATTCAAACCTCAACTTCTTCATAATTATCACGAATTGTTTATCTATGACATTAAAATTCACATATATAAATTCCAAAAGGTTGGTTCAAGTGGATAAGAATTTTACCCTGACGC